CACGCGCCCCTGGGAAAACGGAGAAGTATGAAGGGGAGGGAAGGAATGCAGAAGCAGTTATCCTAGCCATCATGAAGGCAGAACCCACCGTATTTGCGGACGAGCTTGGGTGCGTTCTTGCGGCCGATGCCACGCGCCCTGGGAAAACGGAGAAGTATGGAAGGGAGAAGGAAGGACAGGGAGGGAAGCAAACATGGACTGCCAGTACCCACACCACATGAACTGCTACCCCACCACATGAACTGCCAGTACCCACACCACATGAACTGCCAGTACCCACACCACATGAACTGCCAGTACCCACACCACATGAACTGCCAGTACCCACACCACATGAACTGCCAGTACCCACACCACATGAACTGCCAGTACCCACACCACATGAACTGCCAGTACCCACACCACATGAACTGCCAGTACCCACCCCACACACATGAATGTGACGCATATCATGTAACTCTCACATTGCTCTTCGAACACCAAGACGATTCTCAAACTGCACTTTCTCACATAAAACAAAGCCTCCGTAAGACCTCTCCAAAGAGTCACCACGAACCGGGATGTTGTCGCTGACGTCACCCATGAGGGCGAGGATGTCAGCAAAGAGTGGCGGATCCACGTCACCCCAGTCCCTCCGAAAGTCCTCCTCCGCGTAAGTGTAGAAGTGCGACGTGGGTAGCGCGGACTGCCACGCCTGTTCACAAGGGAAAAGGAAGGCAAGGGGCGGGAGGTGGGGAAGCATGTTGCCCCAGTCTCCTCAAAAGTCCTCCTCCGCGTAAGTGTAGAAGTGCGACGTGGGTAGCGCGGGCTGCCCCGCCTGCGTTGGTAAGGGGGTGTCGGATGGGCGATAGGCAGGGGGAGGGAGGTGGGGGGAAGGGAGGGGTTGGCGGGTAGGAGGGGGGGGTTGGTGCAGGGGAAGAAGGGTGTGTCGGGAAAGAGTATGGGAACGAATGGAAAGAGAGCTCTATATGGGATGGAAAGAGTTTGGATGGGCACACCAGACGCACTCCAGCATTCATTGAAAGAGTGAGGCGGAAGAGTGAGGTGAGTAAGGTGGGTGAGACATGAAACATGAGGTGAAGTGAGCGTGGTGGTGTGGGTGGTGTGAGTGGGGTGACCGAAAATATCTCATGAAGGCCTGGATTGAATCAAATAAGAGTCAACGGATTGAACGACCATATCTGAACGCAAAGCGACCAAAGGGGGCGAGGGGGAAGGGGGAGGGAGCAGGGGGAAGCCTGTGTGCAGGCTTAGGGTTATTGCCTGGGAGAATGGGGGGGAACGAGTGGGGAAATGGCACTGACTTGGGGCGTTGTGTGAGGTCGGCAGGTATGCTTGAGGTTGGAGATAGTAGAGCAGCTGAAAGGAAGTCCTTGTCAGGACGATCGCTATGCGCACCTGAAGGGGTGTAAGAGTGGCGGAAACAAAAAGCACAGGCGAACGAAGAGAGAGAGAGTCAATGATTGCGTGTATGACTGACATGTCATTGAGCGGGAGGATGTGGGAGAGGTCACTTCACGAGCAATTAACCATGGCCCTGACGGTGGGCAGTGGAGGGGTTTGGGAGGAAGGGAAGGCGGGGTTGGGGGGTATGTGCGGTCATAGGAAGAAAGCAGGAGGAGGAGCAAGAGGTGTGTATCTGATGTGTCAGAAACAGGAAAAGGGCCCTTGCAATCTAGCTTCCTTGCATTGCAGGCACCCTCCATGCAACAATCACTCAAACTACCCTCACCTGCCCAATCTTGTCTGCTGCAGTTCTGACCTTCCCTTCCCTCCCTCACCGTGCCTTCATCTGTTGAGCCAGTGCGCTACCTTCATGCCATTCTCAAGAGCTTCTGCTTCGGGGTCTGAACGTTTGAGGCAATCTAAACGACTCCTCACCTCGCCCGCACGCTTGTGATGAGTCGATTTTTAAGTCGACTTAAAATCACCTCACCCCGCACGCTTCGGAGCAGCACAGTACCTACCTTCATGCCATTCTGCAGCACCTGTGTTGCGAGAGTGGCACTTTTGAGACATCTTGCTACTCCTCACCCGGCCTCCATGCCTCACCTGACATCTTGCAGCATGCCCACCTTCATGCCATTCTGCAGCGCTTCTGTTGCGAGAGTCGCAATCACATCGTCCGCCTCCACTCCGGATATCTGTGGGCAGAGCGATGGGTACACAAGGACACAATACACAAGGTCACGATACACACACACAGGCAAAGGCAACATCACACCAAGGCCGCATAGCAGCATCAGTCACTGTGCCTCTGTCGTGAGAGTCGCTCACAATCACATCGGTCGCCTCCACTCCGGATATCTGTGGGCCAGAGCGATGCACAAGGCACATACACAAGGGCAGAGCACATGCACGCTCAAGACAGGCATACACACATGCAACACACACACACTCCACAGGCGCTGCTAGCACGTCCCATAGCCTGCAAGCGTCCGGGAAACGCACAAGCCCACCCCCGGTGGCCACAATCTCACATGCGCCACTCACCGCAAAGGAGGGCGGCTTCAGTGCGTGCAAAGCAGCCTGCATGAGCTCCATGGCTCGCGACACGGCGTCAGATGCACTACCAGCAATTCAAAGCTCCCCTCCGCCACTCACTGCAAAGGAGGGCAGCTCTAGGGCGCGCAGGGCGGCGCGGCCTGCATGAGCTCCATGGCTCGTGCCACGGCATTGAGAGCATCCAATAAACCCTGCACCGCACTGCACCACACAACCTCAAGCCTCAAGCCGTGCACTCACCGCAAAGGACGGCAGCTCCAGCGCGCGCAGAGCAGCCCTGCATGAGCTCCATGGCTCGTGACCACGGCGTCAGGGCGAGGCGGGCGCGTGCTCTTGTATCCCTGGAAGGAGTCGTGGCGGAACGTGGGGTCTGCGTGGGAAGATGAGCGGAGAGGAAGGCGTTAGAAGGTGAGTATGAGATCTAGGAATGACTTCTGCTGCTCTTGTAGCCCTGGAAAATAGCGAGATGACTTGTGAGTCGACCCGAAAGTCATCTCCCTAGGAATGACTTGTGATGCTCTCGTAGCCCTGGAATATCACGTGACAGAACGTGGTGTCTGTGCTAGCAAAGGTTGTATTTATGAATGGGCTCAAGAGAGGCAAGGTATACATAGATGGAGGATATGTGAGCTTGGCCAACAATATTAAAGGCCCCAATAAGTGTTGGTTTGGTTTGGACCAACATTATTGGAGCTCCGATAATTGTTGAGTGGGTTTGAACCAGCATTATTGGAGGTCCAATGATTGTTGGGAACCCAACCAAGCTTCAACCACAAATTGTGGTTGAAGGTACACCCAACAATCCTACACCTATTCTAGCATATGCGTGTTGTATATAAGATATTACAGCAGTCTGCATGGGGAAAGGGGGGGTTGACAGGGGGAGGGAGGAAGAGGGGGGAGAGCTGGGAGTAAGAGACAAGACTTATACGACCTGTGAAAACTCGGCATGAGTCTTATTGTCATTAAAAGGCGCCATGAACTGGAATTGCGTTTGTGAGGCGAACTGGAAAGTGTAAGTGGTACGCACAACATGGAATCACATAATGCATTGTATGTTACAATGGTAAACAATGGCTGACTCACTCACCCCCATGGTCGAACACCAGCTGGGCAGAGCCGAGGAGCCACAAGCAGGAGGCCGCGGGGCAGGAAAAAGACGGCGCAATTTCGTGCAGGAGGAAGAAGAGAGAGAGAGAAGGAGAGAACAGGAAAGAGGAATTAATGGAATGAAGAGAGGAGAGGAGAAGCTTTGTGACAGTGCGTGCAAGATGCCGAACCACATATCATATCATATCATATCATATCATAGCATATCATATCATATCATATCATATCGTATCGTATCGTATCGTATCGTATCGTATCGTATCATATCATATCATATCATATCATATCGTATCATATCATATCATATCATATCATATCATGTTGTGCAGGTCGGAGGGGATATGGAGAGACATGAGTGTTGTGTGCTCTGCACGCGACTCTCTCTTCCCCATTATGCGTCACACAGATAAAAAAAAACTCAATAAACACATCGTCACACCCCACCACACTCACTGCTACGTGTGTTGGGAGCATCGCTAGAAGGTTGACGATCTGAAACCACGTTACCACCGCAGAACACAAACACAGGCATATGGGACAGAGTAGAGCAGGTACGAAAGGGATGGAGGTCAGGCAAAGAGATGGTAAATGAGGAAGGGATGGGCTGCGGCAGGTATTCTAAAATGCCAAAGACAAGAGTGGGAAAGCGAGGGAGGGGTGGGTTATGGGAGGGAAGCAATGTAAGATTCAATTGAGGCTGTCTGCTGCCTCACAAACCAGTCAGAGGTAAGAGGAGATGGAGTGTCGGGTGGAAATCCATCCACACACCCACCTGCTGTTGCTTGAGGAACAGGTAAGCAATACATGCACCTGTCCAAAGGACTTGCAACGTGCGCACCTGGCCTCAAACGGCTTGCAAGTTGCAACACACGCACACACCTGCTCGAAGGACTTGAACAGCATGCCCATGACGTCCTCGTCGTTCAGAAAGCATCAATCTGAAGCCCTTGGGAGCACATGCACCTGCAGAAACGACTAGCATTGCAACAAACAACACGCACCTGCTAGAACGACTTGGACAGCGTGCCCATGACGTCCTCGTCGTTCAGAAAGCATCATTCTGATGCCCTTGGGAGCACACGCATCTGCAGAAACGACTTGCGTTGCAGCGCACGCACACACCTGCTCGAAGGACTCGAAGAGCGTGCACATGACGTCCTCGTTCCAAGAGCATCATAAGCCCTTGGGAAGCACATGCAGCTGACCTCAAACGACGTGCAACAGACGCACGCACCTGCTCGAAGGACTTGAAGAGCGTGCCCATGACGTCCTCGTCGTGTGCGAAGGTGTTGTAACCGCTGTGGTGTAACCGCGCTGCGAGGCACACCGGCATGCAAGAGAAAAAAGTAGTTGGGTTTTTTAGAGTTCTCCAAAACCAGCTGTGGTGTACCCATGCTGCAAGACTAACCGGGATGCAAGTGAGATCACACGACATTGAACAGGAAAGAGAGTTAGAGGATGAGCGAGTAGCCATCACCTGATGCTTGGTGGTATGCTCTGTACTCTTATAAACCACCTCAAAGTAGCGAATTCGCCTGATAATCCGCGGACCCTGGTAAGTCTGGCACACTAAAATTGCTACCGAGCAATCTCAAAATCACCTTGGGAGTATCGGACTCGCCTGATATCTGATGGTAAGCCCGGTACACTACAGGATGGCCGTCGATCAATAACAGCCGTCCGTTGTCCTCCTGCCAGCCCTCCATCGCGCTAGGCTCGTGCTCGTCTATCAACGCTTCCTGCTCCTCGATCATCTCCTCTTGCTCGAACCTTATTTCTTGTTGCACCACTAACTTATTTCGTCGTAGCGCCACTCCCGTCATGTCCTGAGCCTCAACCCCATCAGGTGCTTTAGGTGAGATTCTTTCCTTTTGGCCTGGCGTATCTGGCAGATTTTCCACGTCAGCAAGGGCATCACTGCCAGCTCGGACCACGACGCTGTCGATCCGAGCGACGCGGCTAACCCTAACGGTAACGGACGACGACGACGACGACGCGGAGGTTAAGGAGCGAAGCGAACCGAGAGAGCGAGAACATGAAGTAGCGGTGATTACGTGTTTCCCAGAGTCAGCATGTGACGCTTGAACGGGTACTCGAGTCAAACGCGCTGTGGACGCGTTTTCGTGCCGAAAAAAACTGGAATGGCGAGGGTAACAAGTGACGATGCCATCGTGCGGCCTTATAGGTGGTAACGCGAGGGGGTTCGCCATGGCGAATTCGTTCGAATTCGCGAAGATCTTCGCGCTACCGGAGGAAATGACGGGGAGATTGCGCGCGGAGAGACGAAGGACGCACTGGAGCAAGGAGGATCGACGAGGTCTGAGAGCGAGAGGACGAGGCGCAGCGACGCCTCGAGCCAGCATGGCTGGCGTCACGTAAAAGCTTATTTGCTGCTGAAATAACGCCTGGGCAGATGTGGATTGTGGATTTGGATTAGCAACCTTGTGGCTTCGATTCATCAGTTGGCTATTTTTCTGTAACTGGATCTCCAAAACGAACGGACGAATTCTCGATTGAATTTCGTCAGACATTACGAGATGCGTCGCCACGAATCACGACCCAGGGGAGTTGTGGGGAATAAGGGGCCAACTGGCATCGCGAAACGTTTTCTATCGCTTGCGCAAGCCTCGTGGAAAAAATCCGCAAATCCACCTCCATTTTCAGGGTAACAAGGAACAAGCCAACCAGCTTCGCGAAACAAGCCAACTGTGTTACCAAAACGTCTACTGTTTGGAAACTTCTCAGGCCATAAATTGCTTGGATTTTGGCAGCGAGCGTCTGTGAGGGGCAGTATTGTAGGTTTCTATTCCAGTAATTCCGACTTGTAGCTGGTTACAGGACGTGTTGAATCGGCACACTAGCTGACCCCCGGTTGTAACAGCTGTTTCTTGTGATAGTCAAGTCACGAAGCACCATCGCCTGCTTGCGTCCGACGCGCTTAGCGAATACTTCCGTGTCGGCGCTGTCCTTACCTCTCGCCCTTTGACGTCGCCAGCCAGTGTCCTGTTACCAGTCCGCACCCGTAGTCTCTCCACGAAGACGGATTCTCTGTTACCAGGCAGTTTTCGAGTTCGTGGCAGTGCTTGGCAACAATAGTCTCGAAAGGGCGGGAAAAGCCTGTAGGTGATGGTGTTTATTTCTTTCTTCCTTCTAAGGCGAACCTTGTTCTTTTGAGCATTTATCGGTTCCTCTGACCTCCTTGCAGCCCTCTCAGCTTCTCTCCTCCTCTCTCCTCCTCTCCTTCCTTCTCTCTCCTCTCCACTCCGGTTGTCTCTCAGCCAGCAATGAAGCGGACGGAGTGGCGCGTGAGGTCGTTCAGGAGGCACACCTGCTGTCTTCAGCTCGAAACCTTTTAAGGGGCCTAAAACGATCGCCTACTCTCATCTCTCTTCCTCTCCTCCTCTTTTCCTCTCCCCCTATCCTCGCCTCTCCTCTCTTCTCCCTCAGCCAGCAATGAAGCGCAGCGAATGGCGCGTGAGGACGCATCCAGAAGGGAGCACGCCAGCCGCGGACGGAGCACCCGGAAATCCTGGAGTGGGGGAGGCACTGTCATGGCAGGATGAGGAGGTGTACCGAATGTTTTGGAAGCACGGGCAGCACATGATGGGGCTGCTGCAGGGCTTTCTGGGCACGATCGACCTGACAGTCAACCACCACAGAGTGGTCCAGGCCACCAAGGTGCGAACACGGTGAATTTAACGGAATCAATAAATGTGACGTTGTGACTCTTTTTTTGAAGGCGCCCTAAAACTAAATGTGACGGGATAACTCTTTCAGTCGACTCAAAAGTCACAAGATCAGTCACATCCTGAGGCAATCGGGTACAAAAGAAGAGAGAGAATTAAATAAGGAAACGAAAAAAAAGAACGGGAAAAGTCTACGCACTCCTCCCCCATTCCCTCCCCCGCACCCCACCTTTCCCGTTTCCCCCAAAACGAAACCCCACCCATTTCCTTGTGTTCTCCCCCACCCCCTCTTTCCTCGTCCACTGCACCCCTTTTCAGCCTGTCAGCGAATATCCCCCCAACATCCACCGGGCTCTCGAGAACCTGAAGGAGCACCGCCGCCAGCAGCAGCTCAGGCCGTCCCAGTTTGTTTTGAGACGTCTAAAAACCTGACTGTCTTTTCCCTCCCCCATTCCCTCCCCCGCACCCAACCTGACTGTCTTTTCCCTCCCCCATTCCCTCCCCCGCACCCAACCTGACTGTCTTTTCCCTCCCCCATTCCCTCCCCCGCACCCAACCTGACTGTCTTTTCCCTCCCCCATTCCCTCCCCCGCACCCAACCTGACTGTCTTTTCCCTCCCCCATTCCCTCCCCCGCACCCAACCTGACTGTCTTTTCCCTCCCCCATTCCCTCCCCCGCACCCAACCTGACTGTCTTTTCCCTCCCCCATTCCCTCCCCCGCACCCAACCTGACTGTCTTTTCCCTCCCCCATTCCCTCCCCCGCACCCAACCTGACTGTCTTTTCCCTCCCCCATTCCCTCCCCCGCACCCAACCTGACTGTCTTTTCCCTCCCCCATTCCCTCCCCCGCACCCAACCTGACTGTCTTTTCCCTCCCCCATTCCCTCCCCCGCACCCAACCTGACTGTCTTTTCCCTCCCCCATTCCCTCCCCCGCACCCAACCTGACTGTCTTTTCCCTCCCCCATTCCCTCCCCCGCACCCAACCTGACTGTCTTTTCCCTCCCCCATTCCCTCCCCCGCACCCAACCTGACTGTCTTTTCCCTCCCCCATTCCCTCCCCCGCACCCAACCTGACTGTCTTTTCCCTCCCCCATTCCCTCCCCCGCACCCAACCTGACTGTCTTTTCCCTCCCCCATTCCCTCCCCCGCACCCAACCTGACTGTCTTTTCCCTCCCCCATTCCCTCCCCCGCACCCAACCTGACTGTCTTTTCCCTCCCCCTCTCTCCCCTGCCTCTTCTCCTCATCCAGCCGTTCGACGAATACCCCCCCAACATCCACCGTGCTCTCGAGAGCCTGAAGGAGTACCGCCGCCAGCAGCATCTCAGGGCAAATGACGGCATTGCTCCGGCGCGCAAGCGGAAGAGGAAACCGCAGGGGCGGTGGCCGCGGCGGTTCAAGGAGATCTGCTTCTTTTTGGGTGAGGCAGGGGTGCCGTGCCCCTCTGACTGGCAGCAGCAGGTGGAAGCGGCTACTGCTGCTGCTCTGGCCGCTGCTGGCCCTCGCCGTCGCAGGGCTGCTAGGTCTGCTGGTGCTGCTGCTGGTGGTGATAGCTTGGCTGATGACAGAAGGGTTGATGCTGGTGATGGTGGTGATGGTGATGATGTTGGGGAGGTGGTTGATGGGGATGTTTCCTGCAAGGCTTTGAAGCGTTCCGAGGCGTCTCAAAAGGTGGCTGGTGGGGGTGCTGCGCGCAAGAGTTTGAAGAGTTCCGCCCGCGGCAAGCCGTCGACAGCAGCTGATAAGCCAGAGGGCATGGCAGGGGTTGTGAGAGGGGTTGGTGTTTTGTCTGGTGTTTCGTCTGGTCGTGAGAACAGGGTGGCTGGGAAGGGCAGTCACAGGAGCGATCATCGCAAGGAGAAAAAAGCTGGTGACGGGGAGGGGGAGGGGAAGGCCGCTGGGGGCAGTAAGGCTGCTGGTGGCGATGGGAAGAGAAAAGTCGCTGGAGACAGGAAGACCGCTGGTGGTGATGGGAAGAGGAAGAAGGTTGCTGGTAAGCGGGAATTTTGCAGCACAAAAGCAGGGAAGAGGAGCCGGACGACCATGCGCTGCCTGGAGCAGGCGACCAGGGAGAGGCTGTGTGAGATAGGCAAGCAGGCAGAGGAGGCGAATAGGCGCGCGGTGGAGGCGAAACGGGCGTTGGTGGATAAGTACTTGGGGATTTTGAGAGAGAAGCTTGCTGAGGGGGTGGAGGAGGAGAGAAGGATGCTTGCTGAGGTGGCTGAGAGGGAGGAGGCTAAGCTGGCACGCATGGCTGGCTTGCTGTGATTTGTTGACTTATTCCTGAAAGGGGAGCGGCTGTGTGAAGTAGGGAGGCCGGCAGAGGTGATTTTTGAGTCGACTCAAAAATCAACTCGGGAGGCAGGCAGGCAGAGGAGGCGGATAGGCGTGCGGTGGAGGGCAGGAGGGCGTTGATGGATTAGTACTTGGGCTGGAACGGGGGGTGGAGGAGGAGGGAATGTTGTTGGCTGAGGTGGCTGCGAGGGAAGAGGCTAAGCTGGTGCGCATGGCTGGCTGCTTGTTGTGGTTTGTTTTGCTTGGTTTTTTTGTTTGAGTGATTGCAAGGAGCATGGGCACGGTGGACTGTTGAAGTCTGGCCACCACTCAATTGTACCCATGTAGGACAGCTACGGTACTTGATGCTTCTTCACACGGTACGTCCGTGTAACAGTGACCAGGAGTAACCTGGTAAGTACTTGTACGGCATTTGTGTACATAGTGTTCTGGCCAGCCAGTTGATACCCTAATCTAAGTCCAGATTACAGCTGGTGCTTAGACTGGCTGCATTTGGTGTTGTGTATATTGCCCCCCCACTAGTGAAGTACGGTAGGTATCGCTTCATCTTTTGAGTCAACTCGCGAGTCATCTACGGTAGTGAAGTAAGGTAGGTACGGTATCGGTTCATTTGTGAACTCAAGTGACGGCGGTGAGTGGCAGAAGCGCACAGGACAGGAGTCGCTTTTAAGAATTTGCATGAATGTGCCGCGGGGAAGGCACAGAGGCAGGAGTCAGAAGGCTGAGAGGCAGAGAGGCAAGGAAATGGGAGCTGATGGTAGTGCGAGACGCGACAAGGAACTGGAACTGTACAGCATAGAATCAACCTGGCACATACCGTACCGTGCCTACATTGGCGCTCTACGTACACTGAACATTGTGTAGCCACATTATACCGTCATCGCCCGGAGAAGACATATATGTCTTATCTTATACATTGAAAAAAAGCTTGCTGTGTCTTGTAATTGGGACGGTTGAGGGTGTCTTATAATTCTTATAAATGGACAAAAAACCGTTTAGAAGATACCCCCTGGTCATAAGATTGCCCCTAATCCCTATACTGGCCTAACTCGTACACACCGACAGTTGTCTTATAATCAGGAACACCCATCTATAAGAAACACCCGTTTTTAAAGACACCCCATGTCTTCAATTCGACACTGTCTTATATCCGGGCGATGACGGTAGTGGTAAAGAGACGAACTGAGACTATACAGTACAACCAGCTAGGGTGCATGCACCATCGTGAGAGTGCAACCGCCACACCAGCCGTGGCATCTTCCCAGCTCACTGGTCCCTATGGGGTGTTGGACCCTCAAGGGACTCCAACACGCCCTTCAGGGGTGGGGTTCGTTTGCACTGTGAATGGCGTGTTGGAGTTCCTATCCCTATTTGAGACGACTCAGAGCAGCTGTGACATGGAGGCTATTCCGAGTAACGAAGGCAGCCAGTGGCACAATGGCAGCTCCTGCAACCCTCCACTGGTACGAGGTGACTTTTGAGTCGACTCAAAAGTCACAATGGCAGCTCCTGCTACCCTCCACTGCTACCGCTCCTCCTTGCTGGGCTTATTGGGGTTGGTGACCATGTCTAGCACGACCCTCTCTCTGGTTCGACCTGTCTGAAGTCGTCTCAATGCTGCTGCCATACGAAGCTGCTCCTCTCAACAAAGCAGCTGCCGCTACCGCTCCTCCTTGGAGGGCTTGTTGGGTTGGTGACCATGTCTAGCATGACCCTTTCTCAGGTGCGTCCTGTCGTGCTGCCATACCAAGAAGCTACTCTCAATACACAGGCAGCTGCTGCTACCGCTCCTCCTTGGAGGGCTTGTTGGGGTTGGTGACCATGTCCAGCATGACCCTCTCAGGCGCATCCTCCCACTTGCCCACAAACTTGGCCAAATCCACCTGGGGAGGTGCATGTGGGGGAGGTGCATGTGGTGTAGGTGCATGTGGTGGAGGTGCATGTGGGGGAGGTGCATGTGGTGGAGGTGCATGTGGTGGAGGTGCATGTGGTGGAGGTGTATGGGTGGAGGTGCATGTGGGGGAGGTGCATGTGGTGGAGGTGCATGTGGGGGAGGTGCATGTGGGGGAGGTGCATGTGGTGGAGGTGCATGTGGTGGAGGTGCATGTGGTGGAGGTTTGAGATGGAAGGAGAGGCAATGGTGCTGGATTAACGCACTGAGCCAGCTTCTGTCAGGGACCTAAACCCGAAACCCTGAACCCACTCTTACCTTCCTACTCTGACCTTCCCCCATAGCCTCTCTCACCACCCCCCTCTGCTCCATTCCCCTCCACCATCTCACCCCCCCCCCCCCCCCCTCTGCTCCAGTGCCCTGCCCTGTTCACGCTATCTCACCTTTCTCCTCTCCTCCACCCTTCTCCCCCACGCTCACCTTCCTCCTCTGCTCGGTGAAGAGCTGCTCTCGCTGCTGAAAGGCCACCCTCTTGTCCTCTGCTGCCTTGCCGTCTAAACCTCATACGTTCACATCCTCTCCCCCTTGCTCCGTTCCCCTCGCCCACGCTCACCTTTCTCCTCTGCTCAGTAAAGAGCTGCTCGCGCTGCTGAAACGCCACCCTCTTGTCCTCTGCTGCCTTGCCACCTAAACCCCATACAGTCACATCCTCTACACGCACACTCAGCTCCGCATAGCCCTGCATGATTGGCACAGAAATTGGACGTTAAGAAACATAAACACACAGCAGTGCCGGTAGCACACTGGCCGAAGAGAATTATATTCAATCCAACATGTGCATAGGAGAATATACGAAAAAATCAGCATATATGCATGGAAAAAAATGTAGGGAAACTGAAGCCAACATACAACCCACACCCCCACTCCATTGTGGGTAAGTTCAGAAGCTCACCTGGTCCAGGTGCAGGTGGCCCGGTCGGTAGGTCTTATCCACTGCATGGTGCCTCACAATGGCGCATCGAAACTTCTCATCCACCCACACCCTCATCTACTAGGAATTCTTGGATACTCACCTGGTCGGGGTGCAGGTGGCCTGGTCGGAAGGTCTTATCCACCACATGGTGTCTCACAATTGCAATCTGAACTCCTCATCCACCCACCCACACCCTCAATCCTTCTGAGAAATTCTCTGAAGCTCACCTGGTCAGGGTGCAGGTGACCCGGTTGGAAGGTCTTATCCACTGCATGGTGCCTCACAATGGCGCTTCGAAACTCCTCATCCACCCACACCCGCTCCCTCCCCCTGCTGCCCCCCACGCCTATCCCCAACACCCTTGCCTTCCCCCCTGCTGCCCCTGACCCGCGCACAGCACCACCAGCCCCACCAACACCAGCACGAGAAACAGGGCCGCCCCCCAGCTTTGCGGATGTAGTGCAGATGAAATTATTCGCTTGACCTGGTTTGATTCGTAGACAGGGGGTTGAAAGGGAGGAGAGGAAGCGGTGCGATAAATGTGCGAATACAAATCATGCTGGGAACCAGTGGGCTTGTAGAGCGAGACGGAGGGCGAGAGCTGCTTGAAAACAGAGCCCCTGGCGTCACCAATATAGGTATCAGCATTGGCCACAGCAGCAGACCATCATCAGGTGCCTCGACAACAGTCTCAGAAGGCTCACCAGTGGGCTTGTAGAGCGCGAAGGAGGGCGAGAGCTGCATTAAAGCGCAACCCCTGGCGTCACCAGTATAGGTATCAGCATTGGCCACAGCAGCAGACGCCATCACTCCCACCAGCCACGGGGGCTGCTTTGCCATGCACAGGCGGGTGCAGTGAGAGAGGAGACCCCCGCAGTGACAGTGAGAGGGGGAGGTGGAGGAGGAGGAGGAGGAGGAGGAGGAGGAGGAGGAGGAGGAGGAGGAGGAGGAGGAGGAGGAGGAGGAGGAGGAGGAGGAGGAGGAGGAGGAGGAGGGCGGGTGGCGGAGGGAGAGCAGCAGCAACCAGGGACCACCATAGCCTTCAGCTTGAGCCATGAACCTTCGAATGCCACGGCCATGCAGGGATGCCCGGTACAGCAGCTGCGCACCATGCACCATATGCCCCCCTCCTGCACCACGTGTTTCTCTTGGCCCTGCACCTGCCCCTGGCCCTGCCGCTCCTGTTGCTCCTGTTGCTCCAGTTGCTCCTGCCGCTCCTGCCCGTGACATTCCTGCTGCACTGAGAGGGTCCGGAAACGCCATGTCAAGCGCCCAGGCAATGCCACGTGGAATGGCTTCCGGGCTCGTATTGGTGGAATCAGTGCTTTCAGTGGATGCAGCAGACGTGCTTGTAACGGTGGGAAGGAAAGAAGCAGCAGGAGCAGGGACATCGTGCGTGAGTGCTGCCTTGCTGGCATCATGCGTGGTTGAAGGAGAGGAGTCATCTGCGTGTGAAGCAGAGGCGAAGCGGTGAAGCACAAAGGCTGAGAGGCGGGTGGAGAGGCCCGGCAGCCGACCCAGCAGCCATGACACGAGCTCTGCCGACTCCAGGCGAGGCAGAGACCCGTTATAGGCTGATCCGCTATCGGTAGCAGCACCAGGCGCAGGCACGGAAATAGCAGCAGCGTTCTTTGTGGCAGCAGCATTCTCAGTGGCACTCGCAGCAGCTGAAACAGCTCCTTGGGCAAGGCTCTGAAGCATGTGGAGCACATTTGAAGGTATGGTAGACTGGCCACTGGTGTGTGCTGCCACATTGGGGAGATCAGCATCAGCACCACCACCACCATCCCCATCCCCATCCCCATCCCCATCACTATCAGCACCCCCATCAGCACCCCCATCACCAACTTTAATACCATGGCCTGCCTTGTCTTGGCCCAATGTCTCCACCTGCTGCCCCATGGCCCAGCACGTGAGGAAGAGAAGCCACACGTGCCATGCATGCACCTCCCCGCTCTCACCTTCCCCAACCCCTAGCTGCTGCTGCTGCTGCTGCTGCTGCAACTGCGGCTGCGATTGAGTTTCTCCCTGCAGGTTGTGTGGCGTGGAGAGCGGGGCTTGGGGCACGGAGGGAGCGCATGGGATGGACGGCATCACAGGGAAACGGCTGCTGGGCTCGTCACTGCAGGCACAAGCATCATTCTGATCCAAGCTGGAAATCTGTGACTGTACGCTCTGAGACTGTGAGGATTGTGACTGTAACGCAGGGGAGCAGGCGGATGGCGGGACGAGCGCCACACGAATGAGAGACATGACTCGCAGCAGCCTTCTCATGCGAGCTGCTGACGAAGCTTCCTTGCAGCATCCCGCCAGACCAACGATAAACTCCTGCCAAGTCACCCTCGCCCTCCTGCTCACCCTCCTGTGCGTGTGCATCGCGCCACCACTGCCACTGCCAGCAACACTCGCACTACCTTCACCTCCACCGCTGGCTGTAGCAAGGCTCTGTTGCGTCTCATCCCTGGCTGTAGCAAGGTTCTGTCGTGACGCATCCCTGGCAGAGCAGCTGCGCATGTGGGAGCTAGATCCGCCAGCAGCGTCAGTGCAGGCGGAGCCATCAGCAGCATCACGCCTGACAATGACGACCGGCGCCGTGAAATTTCTTTTACCAGCATCTGATCCAGCATCTGATCCAGCATCTGATCCAGCATCTGATCCAGCATCTGATCCAGCATCTGATTCAGCATCTGATTCAGCATCTGTTCGTGCTTCTCCTTTGTCTTCCTCCTCCTCCCCCTCCTCGTCCGCCTCCTCATCACTCTCATCACTTGCACCATCCATCGGACCCGTCCAGAACGCCTCCCAGTCTTCATCAATAGCTTCAACTGCTACCTGCTCGGCTGAACCGCCCCGCCGACCACTTGATCCCTCCTTGCCGTTATTGCTACTACAAAGCTTGGCCTCCAAAGTTCGTACTGATTTCCTGTAGCGAACCCCAAACACGTCTGTAGCAATTGCTCTTGCCACTTGACGAGATAACGCCTCAACAGCCACACGAGAGGGAGGAGCAGCAGAAGCAGGAGCAGCAAAAGCAGAAGCAGAAGCAGAAGCAGTAGCGGTAGCAGCAGCAGAAGCATCACTGCCATCCATGCTTTCTTGCGCTCCTTGAGGCGCTGCTTCTGCTTGCCTCTGCTGCTGCTGCTGCTGCTGCTGCTGCTGCTGGCGGTGGTGGTTTTGGAGCTCCATGATAAACCGCAGCAAGGGACATGGCAGCGCTTCTAGAGGAAGAAATAGCTTCAGCTCGTCCTGCATGGGAAACGAAGCAAAAATGGTAGTAGGGGATTTTTTTTTGTTTTTTTACTGTCAGATTCCGCTCGATCATCTTCTGTGCGAGAGAGTACTCACCGCTAGGACCTGCGCCGGAATAGTATCACGGGTAGTTTTTCCGCGTCTACCGCGCTGTACCAGCTGAGAGAACGCGATCCTTATTCGAGCTAATTCCTGAGGCGGAAACTGTGCTTCGGCTTGCGACACCGCGGATGTCTCCGATCTGTCTACCGCAGGGGACGGCGACGACGATGCTATGCCCATAGTAGACTATTGATGTTTAGAAGCCAAATCGATCTCACCACGGCGCGTGGAACAAGTGAATTCACCACTTAGGAGTTCATGAGAAGTCCAGGAGACGAAATTCCGTGTAGTAACTCGAACTTCAGTGGAGCGCGCTGGCGGTGACGTGCCACGATCGCTCTGCTTGGGTAAGTTGCCCGTTACTCCCTGACACTCGCATATTGTGTTAGCGCCACTGCTGAGTAGCAACTCTACTCTCTGATTCGGGGGTTGTTTGCATCTTTGGCTTCCTCCTGTCCTGTGGCTTGATTGGCTGATCAATCTGTTCGTGCGTGTGGCTCTGGGAGTTCTGCTTGTTCTCTTTTCTCAAAAGGCGGTTTACTCACTCTAACTTTCCCAACCGTGAATAAAGTAGCTGGAAAACCGAGTTAACGTTTACAACCACGAACTAAATGAACCGTACGAGTGAGTTCTAGGGACTTGAAGTTTGTGCTTTCATCATCACTCATGGCTCTGTGGCCCATAACTTGAGCCAATCTTGCATCCCTGTTTTCCTTTCTCTCCACTTAACACCCTCCCAGTGTCAGCGCATACTAAGTCTCACCCAATACCCAATCATTTCGCACTGGCCCAGTGAAAAAACTCGCAACCTCGCAGTCGTCGTAAGACGGAATTCTCCACAGCTGATGCATTATTGACGGCATTTGATCACCCTCTCCGTTTATCGCCGATCCAATTCCGCAAAAGTAAATTCTATATCACTAACAAACCCTCTCATTTTCTGAGCCGCAATGCCGTCGAAGCTTCAGGAATGGCTTGACATCCCGCCAGGGACCATACTGCAGCATCTCCCGACGGGATCATGGGGTAGCTTGTCAGAGGAGGAGAGCTACATTCTCCTGCATACGCTCGTCGTCGCCACCGGCACATGGACTCTGCTCTTCCTCACGCTCCGCCTCTCGATTTTGTCGCGCGTCTCCTTTGATTTCTGTAACCGAGCTGTTTCGCAGGCAAGTTATGCAAGCTATTCAAAATCCGCGCTCATTTACTGATATGTAAGGTCTGGCTCCAGACTCAGACGTCTCAGGCCACACATTCATCGCTTCTTCACCTGAAGTACACAATGTGCACGCACAAAATAACCTCTAACAATGCACTTCGGCTTGCTTTCACAATGCCTGCTACCAGCTGAGTCTATTCCTCTCTCACGTGCTTGTTAATCGTTTATTCGGGATGTCTCGTCGCCCTCTCCTCCACTCTCATCGCCAGGTGCATGTGGTCATTGCTCTCGCCCTCTCGACAAGGGCTCTCAATTGGTATGAAGAAGTGTTTTGAGATGTCTCAAAGCACTTCTTCATATGCATGTCTCGTCGCCCTCTCGCCTCCCACTCATCACCAGGTGCATGTGGTCATTGCTCTCGCCCTTGCTACAAGGGCTCTCAACTGGTCGGATCCGCTTGGGAACTTTGGAGGCCGCAACACCCTTCCTCAGGTGACCTCCTCGACCGCATGACTTATGTTTCGGCACAGTGTGTGTGTGTGTGTGTGTGTGTGTGTGTGTGTGTGTGTGTGCGTGTGTGTGTGTGTGTGTGTGTGTGTGTGGATAAAATCATAAAACATAAATCCTGCCACAGTGCATCGCTTTTGTCTGCAAGCATTACAACCTGTCACGTGCATTTCGCGTTTCAAAGCACAGCATATGCCTGGTACACAGTTTGCTAGGTCTTCAGCACGTTCTGACCCAGCCTGCCAAGTATGGTTGCAATTCGAGTCACCATCCCCTGGCATCGTTACATTCTCCAACCTTCTTGCATTCATGACAAAAGTGATCCTGTGTTCGATCCTGCTCATCCAACCCACTTTGTTCGTGTGCCACATCACCACCAGGCCCAAGCCATCGTAATCAGCCTGAGTTATTTCATCTATGACTTCATCTGCTGCTTGTTCTGAGGCGCCTCAAAAGCCCATTTGTTTGCATGCCACATCATCACCACCAGGTCCAAGCTATGGTGATCAGCCTCAGCTATTTCCTCTACGACTTCGTCTGCTGCCTGTTCGATGTCACATTCGACTGGGCCAACGCTTTCCACCACATATTTTCCATAGCCGGATTCGCCTTTGGCCTCATTTCTGGTCGGGTACGTACGTGGCACGCAGAAACTTTTACTAGGAACACAATGAACAAACCTGCGAAACCGTTTTGCATGAACTTCCAAAAATGGCTGTTCTGTCCTTACCCTGGTCTTCTCTCAGCAGCCATTGTAACACACTACCTCCACTTTCATTGCCTAAATTCCAACTATTCCCTGGAGCAGTGTGGGGAGGAGTTGATGGCGTGCCTGTGGCTGGTGGAGCTGTCCAACCCCTTCATGCACGCCAGGGAGATGCTTCGCGAGCTGGATGCTCCCAAGTCGGCACTCACCTTTGCTGTTGATGTGAGACCATTGATAGTAAACATTTCGCATTGCAGTCTTAAGAACAAGCTACTACACCAGTCTGTGCACCACACTACACATTCGAGCTCCTAATCACTCTGGGGAGAGATTGTTTCTTACCGTCGTACTGTCACTTGTTTCCTGTCCTGCCCTATCATTCCCTCTTGCCGGCTTCTCTGACTCTTCTACTGCCTCCCTACCACCCTCCATCTCTTGTGTGACATGGTTGCAGCTGGCTTTTCTCATTTCCTTCACAATAGCCCGCATGGTCGTCGGTCCGGTGGTAACATGGAATACTGTTATTGGGACGAGCCCCACTGCTGTTAAGGTAACCACTGGCGTTCCTCACTGTCCCACTGTTCAGCCTTGTTGTATATTTTTTATCTCTGATTCCCTCTGTCTGTGCCTCTCTCACTCTTCCACCCGCAACCCCCTCTCTCGCTCTCCCTCCCACCTTCACCCCCCATCTCTCCATCCCCCCCAATCAGTCACGCACCACGTCCAATGGATCCTGTCTCGCTCAGTATGTCTCATTTCTATTTTCTAATGTGGTGTTGGTTCTGTCACAGGTCGGTGCAGTGGCAATCCAAGCTGTCAGCACTTTCTGGTTCTCCAAGATCCTCAACGCAATAATTCGCATGATTAGGCAAAAGCCTAAGCGAAGCTAGTACACAGCTCAGGCTGTGATATTGTTTCGCTGTTGATCTCCTAAGTTTTCAAGCGATCCTGTGCAGAATAAGCAGCTCATTCAAGTGGATGTTTAGCCCATGACAAATCAACAACTTGGCCATCAGCAAGGGTAAAAAGGACATGACCACAGTGAACATTTCCAGCCTGGTTACGTTTCAGGTGCTCCAAGTGAAGGTAAGGCTGTAATAAGTGGATGGTGCTTGTGGTGGATGCCAAATGCAATGGCGCAGCTGTAAATGCCAAATGTAAAAACCACCTTTTCAATCCCAAATCCTGGTGAACGGGAAGTTAGAAATGGGTATCAAAGCACTATGGGCGCAGCTTGTATTAATACAAAAGGTGAGGGGGATTGGGTGGGGTCTAAGCGACGCAACCGCATGTGAATCATCCGCTCTACCCCCTAGTCTCAGCCTTCATACTTAGGGTCCGCAAGCACGTAATGATAGGCCACGACCAACATGAAGATCGTGATGCCGAGGACGTTCGCGAAGAACCCGAGATCTTGATCGTCAATCATCTGCCACAGAGGTCGATGGAAACGATAAATTGAATGACCACTGAGGTCAGGAAAATCGGCCGAAAGGATTCTACGAAACAATCACTTGACGGCTTCCTAACCGGGACTCAAGAAACTCAGATATAATACCTTGATGAGCTTGCGAACGGCTTCGCGCCGCTGTATATGGCGGGAGTTCAAGTGGAGGACTGCTAAGAATGATCGACTAAAGCTGAAGCTGGCAGCTTTCCGTCAAGATCTAGGGCCCGATTTGAGAATTCGAAGGATGAGCAAGTATGCGGAGTAACTGTTTCTCACAATTTACTCGAAGTGGGACAAAATTGCTCGCATGACTTCAAAATGGTGGGGGTCTGTTCCCTCGCGTTGCAGTTTTGTGATCTGGAACACTTCCGAACACAAAAATCCGTCGCAGGTTCATGTGGGTGGATGATGTAGAGATCAACGAATGAGCATTTTAGGCAACGACCATACTCTTTCTGTGCCCTTGGGGATTGGCGAGTTCAGTTGCGAGACGACCTTTCTGGTTACAAATTTGCAACGAAAACACAAACGAACCAGGAATGGCAGAGCTGGGATACTGTACTCGAAAATTGTAAATCAACGAATAATCGCCAACTCATATTTCTGAAATACCTGTTCTCAGTTTTCACAACCCGACCATTTTCCAGCCAGCCGCATCATCCTTCGGAATCCATCAAAGAGGCTGACCTCCTTAGCTTCCTCTGGTTTGTCCCTGCTCAACTTCCCTCCATTTTTCACCATGAGCTCTTCACAGAAATCCGCCAAGGGTTCTAAACCCTCGAAGGAAAGCAGCAAGCCCGCTCCCGCTCCCGCAGCATCCCCGTCGCAAGGCACCTCGCCAGACATGAGCAACACGAACGTCTTCGAGTTCGGCTCCGCGTCCGTGTCGGAAGATAAATCCACGCTGGCGGGGTACTGTCCGGTGTCGGACGATCTAGAGCCGTGCCGATGGGAGGTGCTGCCATCAGGAGGAGGAGAGGCGCCTCGGTTTCGCATCATATTCTAATGGTAGGAGAAATTATTGAGACAGAGGCGGTCTTACAGGCAAAAGCCTAGTCGGTCGTTGCCCGAGATTTTGTCAGATACCTTGGATTGGATGTGCTGTGTCGAGGCCTTAGATGTCATCAGACTAATCATCTTCCTCTTCTCAATCAATAATCTGCCTGTTTCCCACCCTGCAGCATCCATACATGCGTAGAGTTAAGGGATGGTGGATTGGTGACAGCTGGCAGATCCTGGAACCAAGAGTTACCCTAGATGGTTGACCTAGAATGCTTGCTGGTGTAATGATCAGCTTTGTTCAAATTCATTGACAGGAAGATTTTGAGTGCGCCTATCCTTGCATCAAGACGTTCCAGAATCTCCCTGTCGCTCGACCAAACTTGGCTGGTCGGAATCAGTCGTGAGAGAGAAATACAGGGGTGGTGAGTTGATACTGATGTGCAGAATAACTTCATTACGATATTAAGGTGCAATGGGGTAAGATACGACCATAAACTATGTCCGTCCTTAGAAAATCAGACATATCACATCAGAGGGAGGGAGGCACATACGCCATCTCCTGCACCTGCACATACGACGTCCCGCCATCAGCCGCGCGTCTCCACTTCTGCCTCCGCATCAGCTGCAATGCTGCAAAAGCTGCCAGCGCCCCACCCACCACCACCACCAGCAGCACCCCCAACCACACCGAACCCCCACTCCCGTCCTGGCTGCTCCCTCTGTTGGTTTGCAACGGCACTTCCGCTGACGGTGAGGAGGAGGAAAGAGACGGCTCGCCGAACTCCGTGTTGACGGAAGGCTCATAGGAGGGGTCAACTGTCGGGCTGGTCCTGCTCTGGGGAAAGTCCGCATTGCTGCCTCCACCGCTTCTGCTGCTGCTGCTGCTGCTGCTGCTGCTGCTGCTGTCAGGATTCCTGCCGCTCCTTGCCTCCGCAGCATCTTCCTCCTCCTCTGCTTTCTCCATCTCCCGTTCCTCCTCGTCCTCCGCATCCTCCTCTCGCACCCTCTTGTCTGACGAACCACGTGAGCCCACATCACCACCTCCTCCTGCCATGCCTTCTTCCCTTCCACCCATCTCAACCCCCTGCAATGCTCCCTCCGACCCTCCTGCATCCCCACCACTCGACCTGCCCCCTTCCCTTCCTCCCATCACAGCCGCAGCTTCTCCTCTCTCCACTCCTCCTCCCCTCACCACGCCAGAATCTCTCCCCCCACCAGCCCTTCCCCCGGCCGCCCACCCCCCTGCCGCCCGGCCGCCTGCTGTCCGCCCGCCTGTCTCCATGCCGCCCATAACATCTGCAGCCCCAGCAGTGCCCAGCACTTGATCTTGGGGTTCCCACGACACAGCACTGTCCTCTCCCTCGTCAATCCCCCCGAAATCAAGCTCCTTCTTCTCCTCCGCTTCTATCGCTGCTTCCTCTGTCTCCACCTCCTGTACCTCCTCCTCCTCTGCCCGTTCCTCCGCTGCTGCTTCACCCTCTGTAGGTGCCTCTGTTGCTTCCTCCTCGCCCCCTCTTTCCTCCTCTTCAGCCTCCCCCTCCCTTCCACCACTGCCAGCACCTGTGCGAGTACCAGTGACAGCACCAGCGGCAGCACCAGCAGTAGCACCAGCAGTAGAAGCAGCAGCAGCGCCGCTGTCACCACCAGCAGCAGCGCGGGTGCGTGACACGTGGTGGCTGACTGAAGCTAAGGGGAAGGCTGCGGCAAAGAGAACCTGCTCCAACCCAGCCTGCAGGTTGTGTGGGAGAGAGAGAGGAGAATGAAGATAAAATGGGAGGGTTTGTGCACGCATGTCCTAAGGACCAGCGTACAGTGTACTCGATACTGTCTCAACTGCATCCTACTCAATACAGAGCAACTCACCTGCATCATACTCGATATACACTGACTCACCTGCATCATACTCGATATAGACCGACTCACCTGCATCATACTTGATATAGACCGACTCACCTGCATCATACTCGATATAGACTGTGCCATTTGCGCCACAATCTCCACCGCCATCTCATCAGGCCTGTCCGCATCTCCCTTGCACCAATCACAGCCCCCTGCCTGCGCCATGACCTCCTCTCGTGTATGCTTGTAGCACTTTCCCTCGAAACCCGGCATATCCTGCCAGTGCCAGCAGCAGCCATAGTGAGAAAGAGACGGGTTGACGGTTTGGTGTAGTGTTGGTAAAAGCCGAACTAATTATTGAGTCGACTCAAAAGAAACCTCCTCTTGTGTGTGCTTGTAGCACTTACCCTCAAAACCCGGCATATCCTGTCAGTGCCAGCAGCAGCCAGGGCGTGTGAGAGTGAGAGTGAGAGTGAGAGTGAGAGTGAGGGTGAGGGTGAGGGCGAGGGTGAGAGCTGAAGGGGAGCAAAACTGAGTGAAGAGGGGGAAAGCTGAGACAAAGGGGAAGAGACTTACTGAAGGAGAGAAGAGGTCGCAGACGTGCCGATCCCACACATGCTTGAAGATCTTCTCAGCCGTCCGATTCGACATCCCCGTTGTGAATCCAACGGGCACCCTTACATTGGGCCCCTTGCCTGGACGGGCAGCCTCCAAAAACTCCATCGCCTGCCCGAAGGTGGTGATCTGCCCGCAGCTACAGAGCGAGGTGACTTCGAGGCACATTTCTTTGCAGGGCAGCCCGAGAGAAAAAGCTGCGAGCATGCGAGGGAGGGCGGCTTCAATGAGCTCGTCAGGCTTCTCCTGGCCAGTCGTAATCTGGCGCAGCTCCGGCTGGTGGCAGGGTGATAAGAAGTGGGTGGAGGGTAGGAGAAACGAGTGAATGTTATTAAAGCAACAAGAACTGCCCCTATGCGGGCCTCAGGCTGCTTCTGGTCAGATGTGAACTACATCCTGCACACTACTTACCCTTCCAACCCATCCTCCCCTCCCCACCACCCAAACTCACCAGGGACTTCGTCCACAATCAATCTTCTCAAAAGTGCCACAAGTGGGCACGGTCTGGCCACACCAGAAGCGGTGCAGCGCCTGCAGGCATGGCTCACAAGGCGGGGAGTACCCCGCCTGCTGCAAGTACTGGGACCAGCCTCACCTGCCCATCTCCACACTACAACCCACCGAGCCCCAACCCAAGGAGCCCAGTCAACAGGCACCTGCGCAGCACAACAAACCAGGGGCCATCCGCACTCACCAGCACTTCGTCCACGATCTTCTCAAAAGTGCCACAAGTGGGCACGGTCTGGCCACACCAGAAGCGGTGCAGCGCCTGCAGGCATGGCTCACAAGGCGGGGAGTACCCCGCCTGCTGCAACCTTGCTCGCACCACCACGTCCGGGTCCAGAGCCTGCCCCTCCCGCTCCTCTAGAGTGTACGCGCAGTCAACCGTAGGGTTGACCAGGTCAACGGCGCACTGCTGCATCATCCCCACACTCACAATCCCCTCCTCCTTCTCCTCTTTCTCCTCGCCTCTTGCCCCTCCTGTTCCCGTCTTCGGTGCTCCATTGCCCCGGCCAATGCCTGCTACTGGTCGGCATGCCGCCCGTCCGCCAAACAGGTTACACGGCCACATCTTGGCTGCTACCAGTGCCGCCCCCATGCCGCCCAGCAGCACCTTCTGGGAATCTTCTGGCAGATCTGCTGCCTCGTGCACGTCTTGCGATAGGGTTACCAGCGCATCAGCCTGCTGCAGCGTCAATGGGGGTGCTGCTTGTTGTTGCGGCTTGGCTTGCTGGTTAGTGTTTATTTGTTCTTGTGCCTGTGCTTGTTGATTTCCCACCTCTGAGTCTTTTGCTGCCTTCCCCGCCATGTCCCCATCTCCTTCCTTTTCAGGCTCTCCTTTATCCCCCTCTCCCTCTCTCCCCTCCTCCCCTTCATTCTCTCCCTCTCGCATTTCACCCTCTCCTTCCGCCGCCCCCTCTCCTTCCTTCTCTCCCCCCTCCTCCTCCTCCTCCCTCTCTCCCTCTTTCTCGCCTTCTCCTTCCTTCTCCCCTTTTCCTTCCTCCTCCCCCGCTCCTTCCTTCTCCTCCTCCCCTTCCTTCTCTTCCTCTCCTTCCTTCCCGCTCTCTCCTTCATTCTCGTTCTCTCCTTCCTTCTCCTCCTCTCCTTCCTTTTCCTCCTCTCCTTCCTTCTCGCTTTCTCCCTCCTTCACCCCCTCTCCTTCGTTCTCTCCTTCTCCCCCCCTTTCCCCCTCTCCAGCACCGTTCTCCTCTCCCTTCTTAGGCAATGGCGGTGTGCCTAGCTGCTGCGGTGCTACTCGCGGTGCCTTGGCTGGCTGCTGCGCTTCTGCTTCTGCTAATCCCTGCGCTTCACCTGCGTCCGCATTCAACGCAGAAGGAGATTGCCGCTCACCTTCCGCTTGCGCCTCGGTTAAAGGCGCCAGCGGTTGGTGCGATGCTGCCGAACCTGTTGAACCTGCTGAACCCGTTGAACCTGTCGAACCTGTTGAGCCTGCCGAACCTGTTGAACCTGCCGAACCCGTTGAACCTGCCGAACCTGTTGAACCTGCTGAACCTGCCGAGCCTGTCGAACCTGCGGAGCCTGCAGTGGGCTGTTGCTTCGAAGAAGAAGCCTCTGCTTGTTTCTGAGCAAGAGGGGAAGGAGGTGCGGCAGGAGGAGGGAGAGGAGGAAGTGCCGGTGGGTTGACAGTGCTGCTGCTGGTGATGCTACTGCTGCTACTGCTGCTGCTAGTGCTGTCGGTGCTGCTGGTGCTGCTGGTGCTGCTGGTGCTGCTGCTGCTGCTGCTGCTGCTGCTGCTGCTGCTGCTGCTGCTACCTTCACTGTTGCTGCTGCCACCACGGCTGCTGCTCCGACTGTGCCGAATGCTGCTGCTGCTGCTGTGCTTACCCCATTGACGTCCTGCAAGTGAACAGCCAGGGTGGGGAGGGTCGGGAAGAGGGGGGGCGCAGGGGCGACCCAGGGGGGGCCAACACGGAGAGGGGGGATCAAGGGGGAACAAGCAGGGACCAAGGGGGGTGATCAAGGAAGCGGGAGACAGGGCGAGCGGAAGCAATGGACGAGGGGAAGGGGGGAGCTTTAGCGTTGAGAGCACCCTAAGGGGTGGGATGGGAGGGTGGGCCGGTGGACGCGAGGATGTGAGAGATTGGAGGCGTAGGGGTTGAACTAGGGGAATAGGGCAGGCGAGGGAGGTGGGGAGGAAGGATTGCGAGCAGGGCAGGAGGTGAAGTGAAAGGAGAAAAGGAAAGGGGAAAGTTGCAGAACAGAGGAGAGGGAAGTGGGAAGAGAAACCGGAGTGATAGGGCAAATAGGGCGAGGAAGATAGGACGATAGCGCCAGGGCAACGGGCGAGGGCGCGCGGGCAACGGGAGAGATTGCGCGGGCACTGACCAGAGCCGCGGTGACCAGCTGTGCGAGCGGCAGATGCGGCGAGGACGAGGCAGAGGAGAACGAGCAGCCGCGTGTGAGCCGCCACGCGCCGACTCGCACGCACGCCTTGCTGCGGTCCCATGGCGGCCGCACCGACGGACGGACCGACGGATGGACGGATGGACGGACGAACGGACGGACGGTCGGTCAGACGGACGGACGGACGGACGGACGGACGGACGGACGAGTAGGAGGATTCTAAAAGTGAAAGAACGGCTAAGCGGTTAGACGACGGTGGAACGGACGCGGCCTGAACGTTCAAATGAGTCTCAGCGACGGCTACAGGTTCTGCCGCCGAGGTGATCTTAGGGCGTGTGGTAAAAACGAGCTCTCCGTGACACCTACAAGCACTTGCTCACTTCCACACGAAGCAGGACCCATGGCGGAAATGAGGAGACGCCTCGCACCAACTTGACATGGTGAGCAGTATTTTATTCCACTGGCTTCGTTGACCGAACGGTATCTTTATCTTATTGCCTTACCAGTTAGTAAGATTTGACAAGAGTGCAGGTTAGGTAAATAGGTTTCTATTCTACTAATTGAAACTTAAGTGGTTGACTTGCCAAGCCTCAAGAATGACATAACGCGTCCTCGTATCAACACGCCCCGTCATATAAACACTTCATGGAAAGTTTTGTGTGTTCTTTGGTTCTGTAAGGAATTTCTCGATATTCCTTAGCGCATCCTGCAACATCGCATACAGCAGCAGCCGTTGTTCACCCGTTACTGCTAACGGGGCTTCGCCGACTTCGTGCACACTGTTTCACCAAACCTCGCACTGCTGGCCTGGCCGTGTCGGCCTACGCTTCGGGACTAGCCCGAGCCTCGCTTCCAGCATAGCACTAGCTAGCTCGCACGCACCGCGTTACCGTTTGCATGTTTCGCGTATAAATGTTTGCTCATGCCTTCGCTCACATTTTGTACTCGTTTGACACCTTAGTGCAATTCTCGCTACTTCGATTCATTGCACCCGTAACACTTGGTATTCAGAGCCTCTTTCCTTTTCGGACCGCACATCTCCGCACCCCAGGAAATCAACTTTTGATTCTTTCACTCGAAGGGACTCACGCACCTTAGCACCTAGGAGCCGCTATCCTCGCGTTCTCTCGTAAACGCGTGCAGCCACGACTACGCCTAGACTAAGACGAGCCAACGCCCTTCGAAATGGCTGAGCATATCGATGTCACGACTCTCACGCAGGAGCACTTGAACGAACTGCTGCGGCAGATCCGCGAAAGCTCTGAAGAAATCGCGGCGCTGACGGCAGAACGCACGTCCCTACAAAACGACCTCGCACGAACACAATCCCAAGCACCTGGCACTCCGATTCAGCCCGCACCACAGGCATCACAGCACGGAAGTGTGGGGCAACCCGCGAGCGCCGCAAGTGATGGCGTCGTCCGCCATGACGGAGACGACTACCACGGCACGACACACCCCGACGCGACGAATGTGGCCAGGAATCAACCTCGAGTTACGATTTCAGTGCCGGCCGGCGAATCAGCTCTTCCGTCGCCGATGCCGCTGAAGCCGCAGCGTCCGCCATGTTTCGATCCAAGTCAGCGGGGTGGTCCTACCGTTCAGGCGTGGCTCTTCACGTTGAACGTTTTCTTCGACGCGAACTACGTCTCGGAGGATACGGCGAAGATTCGCTACTCCGTGTCGTTGCTGCGAGGACCCGCCATGGACTGGTGGCGTGTCATCGTCACGAAGCCAGTGGACTACGCGACTCTTTCGACACGGGAAGGACAAACCGGACCCTGGGCGCCGTCGTATTTCGTGGAGGTCCCCCACTATCGCACGTGGGACGCGTGGTGCGCAGGTCTGCACGCTCGTTTCGAGCCAATTGCGGCTTCGATCGCGGCGCGACAGAGGCTCCGCACTTGGCGCCAACTCGGTTCCGTCCAAGACTACACGAGCGGGTTTCTCTCGCTATGCGAGCAGGTGGGATACATGCACGAGAGCGAACGCATCGACCGCTACATCGGCAGCCTGAAGTAGGACATCGCTCAGGAAATCCAGCTTCGCGGTGTCACCGATTTTTAGGAGATTCTCGCCATGGCGGAGAAACTCGATTTCTTCCGCCGACCGAGACCGGGGTCCTACGGAAGCAGCAATTGGGGACATCGGCCTCGTGGGACGAACGAGGGCGCTACGATACGTGCCGTCGCCGCAAATGCCGCTGCCGCACCGTTCAAAGGGCGCTGCTTTGCGTGCAATCGGCCGGGACACCGTAAGAGCGAATGCCCGGAAATGCTAAGGGAAAGGGGGAAGCTGAGCAGCAGAAACAGACCAAGCAGCAGGGAAACGCTGGGAGTCAGTAGCAGACGGGCCCTCTACTGACAGGTCACGCCGCTCGCCCGACCCAACCGACCCTCACCGAGTGATTGTGCCGGTTCACGCAATCGACCACACCCGGTCGAATAAGGAGGGTACTGCGGTAGACAGCCCTATACTGCTTAGTGGGAAAATCGGGACTGACTTAGTTAAAATATTCGTAGACGGGGGGGCCAGCCATAGCCTTATCAACACTGCAACAGCACGAAAACTGCGACTGCCACTGGACAGATGTTTACCTGAGATTGACGCAAGACTGGTCGACGGCACGCCATTGGCGATACGGGAACGTGTGGACCGAGTTCGGATTCGATGCGGGGGTAACTTTACGTTTAGCCAGGAAATGCTTGCAACGACCCTCGACGGAACCGACATTTTACTCGGGCGTGATTGGCTGCGACGACACAATCTGCGAATCGACTGGACCACGGGTGACTGCAGTGTGCGAGTGAACGGTAAAAACATCGCCTTACCTCGCTGTGGCTCGCCTGAGTCATTGTCGGTGCGTGTCAACGCGATCACGATGAAACGCGCTGTAGCGGCAGGAGCTGAAGTGTATGCGGTTGACATTCGGGAAGCCGAGGCAGCAGACAAAGGAGGGGATTTACAGAATCTGCTAACCGACGTACCGAGTGATCTGGGAGCACTGTTGAAGCAGTACGGTGACATCTTCCCGGACGACCTACCGAAGGGACTGCCACCTCAGCGACCGCACGACCACATGATAGAACTAGAACCGGGGGCACAGCCGACAGTACAGCGACAGTTCCGACTGACTCAACGCGAACTGGACGAACTGAGGAAGGAGCTGGATTACCTGCTTGAGAAGGAATTCATTCGCCCTAGCTTGTCACCCTTCGCAGCACCGATACTGTTCACACCGAAAAAAGACAGGGATTTCGCATGTGCATAGATTACAGAGCACTGAACAGGGTTACCATCAAATCCCGTTTTCCCATCTCGCGAGCTGACGAACTGATCGACCAACTGCGCACAGCCCGGGTTTTCTCGAAAATCGACCTTCGAGGAGGTTACCACCAGATTCGTGTCAACCCACCTGACTGCCCTAAGACAGCCTTCCGAACACGCTATGGATCCTTCGAATACACCATCATGCCCTTCGGACTGACCAACGCCCCTGCCACTTTTCAAATAACCATGAACGAAGCCTTCCGCCCGCTCTTAAATAACTGCGTCATCGTATACCTGGACGGCATACTGATTTACAGCCCCGACAGAGCACATCACTTACAGGACATCGAAGCAGTTTTTAAGAGACTGAGTGAGAACCGCCTACTGACCAAAGCGTCTAAGTGTGAGATTTTACAGGACCGCCTGGAGTTTTTGGGACACGTTATTTCAGCTGTAGGAGTGGAAATAGACCCGAAAAAGATCGCGACGATTCAAGCATGGCACGCACCGACCAACTTGACCGAGTTGCAGAGTTTTCTGGGGTTCGTCAAGTACGTGCGCCGGTTCGTCCTCGACATGGCGAAGCTGACTGCCCCGTTGACTGACCTGCTGAGGAAGGGGTTTGAGTACACGTGGGGGGAGAAAGAGCAAGCTGCCTTCTCGGCCCTAAAAAATACTTTGTGCTCGCCGCCCGTGCTTCACATCGCAGATCCGCACCGTCCGTTCGAGCTCGTCACCGACGCTAGCGACATCGCTGTGGGAGCAGTACTGTTGCAGGACTTCGGGAACGGCCTTCAGCCAATCGCGTACGAGTCCCGCAAGCTTCACCCGCCCGAACGCAACTACCCGATACACGACCGCGAGATGCTGGCGATCTCGTACACGCGTTCAAGGTGTGGCGATGTTACCTCACGGGAGTAGACGTGACAGTACGGACAGACCACCGATCCCTACAGTACCTTCGCACCCAACCGAACCTCAACCCACGACAGATCTGCTGGTTGGACTATCTGGAGTCCAACTTCCACTATACGGTCACGTATAAAAAAGGCGCATCCAACATCGCCGACGCACTCACACGCCCCACCGCCCAACTCCACGCCATCCTTCTCGCCCAAACCAACCCACTGTTAACAGGCCTATTGACCCACGGATAGAGTACCGAACCATTCTTCACGACCGGAAATTCACAGCGACTCACAGAGGCCAGAGGAGTCTATTACGTAAAAACAGGCACCAACCGCATCTGGGTACCCGCGTACTCACTACTGAGGGAACTGTTACTACAGGAGGCACACGACGGGATTACCTCAGGACATTTCGGGGTAGAAAAAACGCGACAGCAACTGCAGCGGTATTACTACTGGCCGGAGCTGTTGACCGACGTACAACACCACGTGGGCTCGTGTCTTACGTGTCAGGTGATGAAGAGCTCGCGAAAAAGAAAGGCGGGTCAGTTGCAGCCGATCCCACCGCCTGAGCGCGCCTGGCAGCAGGTTACCATGGATTTCGTCACAGGGTTACCTTCGAACCCTGGGGGTAACGACGCGGTTATGGTCGTCGTTGACAGGTTGACGAAGATGGCACACTTCGCTGCGTGCAAGAAATCGATCTCAGCCGAAGAAACCGCTCGCCTGTTCATCGCAGCCGTCGTGCGACTTCACGGGATACCAGCCGCGATAATCAGCGACCGCGACATGAAGTTCACCAGCAACTTCTGGAAGAACCTCTGGGAGCAGTTCGGGACAAGGCTACAGTTCAGCTCGTCGTACCACCCCGAGACCGACGTTCAAACGGAGCGGACGAATCAGACGATGGAGTGGTTGATTCGTGCCACGTGCGACGACCCGACCACTTGGGAGCAGCAGCTGCCGCTGATCGAGTTCGCGTACAACAACGCCACGTCAGCGATGATGCAACAGTCCCCCTTCTACCTGAACTACGGGCAAAACCCTACAGTGCCCATGACGCCGAGTCCGGACAACCCAACACCACGTGCACAGCAATTCGCCGAAATTCTGCAAGCTGCCCGCACCAGAGCCGCAGAAGCAATTAAAAAAGCCAAAGTTATCGCTAAGCGCAACGGTGACCGCCATCGCCGCCCAGTCACGTACCAGTCAGGAGATTATGTACTGCTCGACACGCAAAACTTAAGACTGCCCGTCGTACCGAAATTACGACCCCGCTACTGTGGACCATTCCAAATCAGCCACATGATTACTCCAGTAACAGCTCACCTACTGTTGCCGACGGACTAGTACATCAGCCTTTCATTCCACGTCAGCTTGCTTCGCCCATACATCCCAACCACAAGCCAACTGCCCCGCCACCGCCCGCCACCCATGACCCGCCCTGCATCGGAGCCGATCATCGAGCCCGAAAAAATCATGAGCCATCGGATTCGACACCCCACGGGAATCAGGAGGATTGAATTCCTCATTCGCTGGAAGGATCGCACGCCAACTGAGGATAGCTGGGTGCCCCTGGCCAACATCGAAAACCACCCTGCCCTGCAAGTGTACCTAAGGAGCCGGGGCTTCTGCGATATACACGCACTCGCGTAGCGGAGGGGGCTTCTTGAGGGCGGGGGTAGTGTAAGGAATTTTCTTGATATTCCTTAGCGCATCCTGCAACATTGCGTACAACAGCAGCCGTTGTTCGCCCGTTACTGCTAACGGGGCTTCGCCGACTTCGCACGCACTGTTTCACCAAACCTCGCACTGCTGGCCTGGCCGTGTCGGCCTACACTTCGGGACTAGCCCCAGCCTCACTTCCAGCATAGCACTAGCTAGCTCGCACGCACCGCGTTACCGTTTGCATATTTCGCGTATTGTAAGGAAAATTCCTTTTCCTTACTTCGCATCCCTGCTCAACGCGTACATCACTGTAGCACCACAGTCAGCACCGTTACCACTCGCAATCCTCGCATCGACAATCCGCCCGCCACTTTCGCACGTCGCACCCCGACCTCACGGCTCAGCGGGTAACCCGCGCTCCGGGCCTCCGCTTCGTCACTTTTCCCAACCTCAGTCCCAGGCCCGTCGCGCGACAACCACAGTCCATTACCGTTACCACTGTAGTTTCGCTATATATTCTTCGCTCGTGCCTTCGCTCATTGTACTCTTGCTTCGGTAGTGCAATTCTCGTTCGTTCACTCAATTGCACTCGTAACACGTATAAATGTTCGCTCATGCCTTCGCTCACATTTTGTACTCGTTTGACACCTTAGTGCAATTCTCGCTACTTCGATTCATTGCACCCGTAACAGGTTCACGACATTTACCGAGTGCTTTTGAATATGTAACAGTGTTACTCGAAGCTTCAACTAAAGTCTTCGCTTTCCCGCCTTGTTGCGTGCTCGGCTGCTGGAACGTATTGGTTCGTGGGAAGCGTGTTACAGGAGGTTTGGCGTTCGTGCACGCAAATCCCGTCGCTTCGTTTCGCTCACTGCCAATCAAAGCTTCATTATTAGCAGCACCATGACACAGCGCTCCTGTACCTCCCCGTGTGCTTCAGGCCAAGATCTGCTCTCGAGGTTGTTCCTCCCAAGGCTGATCCAAGGTGCTACTTCTGGATCAGAACTATCAATACCACCACAAGCAGTACGTAGAACGGGCGCGTGATGGTTGCGTGCTAGCTGATCAAGGGTATGAACATTGCCGTCGTCAGACGCTCTTATTTTCCGAATGGCTGACCCTACGTGAGCTCCTCGAGTTTCGTGACTGGTTTGTAGGTGCGCTTATCCAGGTAATTCACGGAGTTATCCAGGTTAGTTGTGGAGCTAATGTGCAACCTCGCCACACCTCGCTACTTCTCCTCTTCACCTATCGCTCATAGATCTCTTTAAATTCCCTACGCCATGCAGACAAAAATAGCAGATTTGCCTTGATTACACCATACCAAATTTTGACTTCCAGCTTCCAGTCACCTCAAACCCTTCTATCCAGCATCCAGTCACTTCAAACCCTAATCCTTCACGCTAGCATCTAGCCATGGCGAACCCGTTCGCCCCGGCGGGGGGCTCTCCGTTTGGCGCGGCGCAGCCGGCGTCCCCTTTCGGCGCCACGTCCGCCTTCGGCGCGTCCGCAACTCCCGCCAGTCCGTTCGGCCAGGCGGGCACATCACTCTTTGGCGGAGGGGCGGCAACAGGAAGCGTGTTCGGCGCGACTTCTGCGCCCGCCTTCGGCGCGACGTCCGCGCCTGCTTTCGGCGCAGCGGCGTCGACTCCAGCGTTTGGGTCCACGGCTTCACCTTTTGGCGGCGGTAAGCGGTGCTTGGCGGTGTAAGCGGTATTGGGCTGCGGTAAGCGGTTCTTGCAGGCGGTAAGCGGTGTTCGCGATTTTTAAGAACGCGATCCGCGTGTGGTTTGTTCGGCGTACATGGGTCCCAAGCGTGTATTGAGTCGACTCTTAACACGTTTGTCCGGCGTACGTGGGTCTCAAAGCGCATTAGAAACAGCAACGGTTGCTAAATTCCTTCTGCGCTGCCGCACTGCGTTTCGTATCCAACCTGTTGGCTCGCATATCTTGAATCCATATTCTCCCCATTCACTGCCAATTTTATTGCTAGGATCATCTTCTCCTCACTCCTTCGCTTATTCTTCTTTTCTCCCACGCTACCTCACGCCAACAGGCTCGTCGCTGTTCGGGCAGCAGCAGAAGCCAGCAGCGTTCGGCACGTTTGGGCAAACCCAGGCCAGTCCCTTCGGAGCGCCCGCTTTCGGCCAGCAGTCCCAGCCGGCGTTTGGAGCAGGCGGGGCGTTCGGCTCCACCGCCACAACGCCTACCTTCGGCGCCGCCACTGGCGCCGCGCCCGCGTTCGGCGCCGCCGCTCCCGCCTTCGGCGCGTCCGCGCCCGCGTTTGGCGCGACCGCGACGACGCCCGCGTTCGGCGCGGCGAGCGCGCCAGCGTTCGGGGCGACGGGGGGGCTGTTCGGGACGACGGGCACGTCCGCGTTCGGCGCTGCGTCCGCGCCTGCTTTCGGCAGCCTCTCGCCGCCCAGCTTCGGAGGTACGCGTGCCCGCCTCGCCTCTGCTGCCATGCCCTTCCTCTCCCACCCACTCCCCAATATCCACCCCCCCATCCTCCTCTTCCCCCTCCGCGCCTGCTGTCGGCAGCCTCCCGTCACCCAGCTTCGGAGGTACACGTGCTGTTCTCCAGCCCCTGCTGCCATGCCCTTGCCAAATTCTCCTGTCCTCGCGGCCTTGTCCAATCTATCTCTGCTCCCTCTACCCCTCCCCAATGACTCTCCCCCTTCTCTCACCCCCCCTTCCTCCCCCCTCTTTCGTCTTTTCAACCCTCCGTGTCCTCGTTTCTGTTCCTGTTCCTTCGTCTCGTGTCTGCCCTCCTTTCCCTTGTCGTTTTCCCTGTTCCGCCCCTACACCTCATTCTCATTCTCCTCCCATTCCCTCCCACTCACTCCCTTTCTCTCCCCTCCCCTCTCTCCCTTCCCCCCCTTTCGCAGCATCAGCGCCTGCGTTCGGAGCAACCACGTTCGGGGCCACACCCTTCGGAGCAGCAGCAGCTGCAGGCACAGGCAGCAGAAACCCCGCCTACACGCCCACCAACGACACAGAAACCGGCACAGCGGGCCAGCTTGGCAAATTCATCTCCATATCAGCCATGCCTGCCTACAAAAACAAGAGCCCAGAGGAGCTTCGCTGGGAGGATTACCAGCGGGGAGACAAGGGCGGGCCGGCGCCAGCACAGGCAGGCGGAGGGCTATTCGGCCAGCCAGCAGCAGCAGCGGCGTCTCCGTTTGGTGCCGCTGCTGCTGCCCCGGCGTTTGGCTCCACAGCTGCGAACCCGTTTGGCCAGGCGTCCACTCCGAGCCTGTTCGGCTCGGCGGCTCCGGCGTTTGGTGCGGCCGCGCCTGGCGCCACGCCCGCGTTCGGCGCGTCAACTTCCCCGTCCCTCTTCGGCTCGTCAACCCCGGCCTTCGGCGCTGCATCCTCCCCGGCCTTCGGAGCCACAGGAGGGTCTCTTTTTGGCGCCACTGCGAGCAGCCCGTTCGGAGCAGCAGCATCAACCCCGTCGCTCTTCGGCTCGCCTGCTGCTGCCACCGCCTCCCCCTTTGGCGCGTCCACCGGCGCGTCTCTTTTCGGAGGGACCTCGCCTTTGGGGCAAGCAGGCGCGGCGGGACAGCCTGGAGCTTCACTCTTCGGTGCCTCTTCTCCTGCCTTTGGTGCCAGCGCGTTTGGGACTCCTGGTGCTGCTGCTGCTACTCCGGCTTTTGGTGCCACGCCGTCACTCTTTGGGACCGGAGCAGCAACGGGAGGAGGGCTGTTTGGGAGTTCCACGCCTGCTGCGGGCTCGACTGGGCTTGGGTTCGGGTTTGGCACGGCCGGAGCTGCTGGTTCGGCGCCAGGGTTTGGTGCGGCAGGGGGGAGCCTGTTTGGAGGGGCGGCAGGAGCGGGCGGCACGACTGGGGCGGGGTTGTTTGGCGCATCCACTGGTTCGGCGTTTGGGTTTGGAGGAGCGTTCCAGACCAAGCCGGCTGGACTCACTCAGTCCTCGGTACGTGTGTGTGTCTCTTTGTTTCTGGTTTTCTCGCTTCACTTCTTGAGGCGCCTCAAAAATCGTCTCAGCTCACGCGGTTTTTGAGGTGCCTCAAAGACCAAGCCGGCTGGACTCACTCAGTCCTCAATACGTGCCTCTCTCGTAGTGTCAGGTCTCCTTGCTTCACTTCTCTCCCTTCACTCTCAGACGTGCATGCTCGCTGCGCTGCACTCTCGCACACCCACATACACCGTCGCACGCAGAGAAAATAGGCACAAATCCTTGTTTCTCTCTCGTCATCTCGTTTCCCCTCGGTCATTGCATGGCCATGATATCACCTCTGCCATTTCTTTATTTCTCACACGCAAGCCTTTCCCCTGTCCCTGGCCTCCTCATTCCCCATTGGTCCTGGCAATTATCTCCCCTCCTACGTGCTTCACCGTGCAGGCGTTCCCCTCGTTTGGAGGGCTGGGAGCATCGGCGACCACGCCTGGCTTTGGAGCATCGCAGCCATCCTGTGAGTCTCTCTCTGCAATCTCTCTACCTCCAGGTTCAAGAGTACTAGGCTGCTGCTGCTGCTGCTGCTGCTGCTGCTGCTGCTGCTACCTCTTGTGTCACCATTCGTGTTGTAGGCATATTTCGATAGTTCTCATCTCAATTCCTGTGTGAGTGGTTGCTCTGTACTGCCGCCTCCAGCTGCTTCTAGTTTTATCTTTCTTCCAGTCACTCACACGCCCATGGCATCCCACCTTTTCACGCTCATATCCTCCCTTCTTGCACTCCTGTCTTGTACCACCAACTTTTGAGGCGCCTCAAAAGTCGTCTTCCAGTCACTCACACGCCCATGGCATCCCACCTTTTCGCGCTCATATCCTCCCTTCTTGCACTCCTGTCTTGTACCACCAACTTTTGAGGCGCCTCAAAAGTCGTCTTCCAGTCACTCACACGCCCATGGCATCCCACCTTTTCACGCTCATATCCTCCCTTCTTGCACTCCTGTCTTGTACCACCAACTTTTGAGGCGCCTCAAAAGTCGTCTTCCAGTCACTCACACGCCCATGGCATCCCACCTTTTCACGCTCATATCCTCCCTTCTTGCACTCCTGTCTTGTACCACCAACTTTTGAGGCGCCTCAAAAGTCGTCTTCCAGTCACTCACACGCCCATGGCATCCCACCTTTTCGCGCTCATATCCTCCCTTCTTGCACTCCTGTCTTGTACCACCAACTTTTGAGGCGCCTCAAAAGTCGTCTTCCAGTCACTCACACGCCCATGGCATCCCACCTTTTCGCGCTCATATCCTCCCTTCTTGCACTCCTGTCTTGTACCACCAACTTTTGAGGCGCCTCAAAAGTCGTCTTCCAGTCACTCACACGCCCATGGCATCCCACCTTTTCACGCTCATATCCTCCCTTCTTGCACTCCTGTCTTGTACCACCAACTTTTGAGGCGCCTCAAAAGTCGTCTTCCAGTCACTCACACGCCCATGGCATCCCACCTTTTCGCGCTCATATCCTCCCTTCTTGCACTCCTGTCTTGTACCACCAACTTTTGAGGCGCCTCAAAAGTCGTCTTCCAGTCACTCACACGCCCATGGCATCCCACCTTTTCACGCTCATATCCTCCCTTCTTGCACTCCTGTCTTGTACCACCAACTTTTGAGGCGCCTCAAAAGTCGTCTTCCAGTCACTCACACGCCCATGGCATCCCACCTTTTCGCGCTCATATCCTCCCTTCTTGCACTCCTGTCTTGTACCACCAACTTTTGAGGCGCCTCAAAAGTCGTCTTCCTGTCACTCACACGCCCATGGCATCCCACCTTTTCACGCTCATATCCTCCCTTCTTGCACTCCTGTCTTGTACCACCAACTTTTGAGGCGCCTCAAAAGTCGTCTTCCAGTCACTCACACGCCCATGGCATCCCACCTTTTCGCGCTCATATCCTCCCTTCTTGCACTCCTGTCTTGTACCACCAACTTTTGAGGCGCCTCAAAAGTCGTCTTCCTGTCACTCACACGCCCATGGCATCCCACCTTTTCGCGCTCATATCCTCCCTTCTTGCACTCCTGTCTTGTACCACCAACTTTTGAGGCGCCTCAAAAGTCGTCTTCCAGTCACTCACACGCCCATGGCATCCCACCTTTTCGCGCTCATATCCTCCCTTCTTGCACTCCTGTCTTGTACCACCAACTTTTGAGGCGCCTCAAAAGTCGTCTTCCAGTCACTCACACGCCCATGGCATCCCACCTTTTCGCGCTCATATCCTCCCTTCTTGCACTCCTGTCTTGTACCACCAACTTTTGAGGCGCCTCAAAAGTCGTCTTCCAGTCACTCACACGCCCATGGCATCCCACCTTTTCGCGCTCATATCCTCCCTTCTTGCACTCCTGTCTTGTACCACCAACTTTTGAGGCGCCTCAAAAGTCGTCTTCCTGTCACTCACACGCCCATGGCATCCCACCTTTTCACGCTCATATCCTCCCTTCTTGCACTCCTGTCTTGTACCACCAACTTTTGAGGCGCCTCAAAAGTCGTCTTCCAGTCACTCACACGCCCATGGCATCCCACCTTTTCGCGCTCATATCCTCCCTTCTTGCACTCCTGTCTTGTACCACCAACTGTTGAGGCGCCTCAAAAGTCGTCTTCCTGTCACTCACACGCCCATGGCATCCCACCTTTTCGCGCTCATATCCTCCCTTCTTGCACTCCTGTCTTGTACCACCAACTTTTGAGGCGCCTCAAAAGTCGTCTTCCAGTCACTCACACGCCCATGGCATCCCACCTTTTCACGCTCATATCCTCCCTTCTTGCACTCCTGTCTCGTACCACCAACTTTCCCTCAGCTTTCACCTGTAACACCTTTTTCGTATTCCCTGTAAGGCAATACATTTCTTATCATCTCCCGCCCCGTCCCTCCTTGCTCTCCCATGCAGTCGGTGGTGGGCTCTTCGGCTCCACTCCTCAGCTGGGCTCCTCTCCATTCGGCGCCTCGTAAGTCCCCTTTTCCTCGCCCCTCCCCGCACCCTTTCCGCCCCCATGCCTTCTCCTAGCACCCTTCCAACTCCTTCTCACCCCTTCTCATCCCTTCGGCACCGCTTCTTCCCCCCATTCCCCTCTCCCCCCTCGCTTTTCTCCGCTTTTTTTCCTTTGTGTGTCTCTCCTGGCTCTTCGTTCGCTTGCGTCTCGCTTTTCCAGGATCCGTCCCTTCTACCTCCCTCCCGCCCAGCACCCTTGTGAAACTCCCTCTCTCCCCGCTCCAGTCTGGTACAGCAGCACTTGCAGTCCATACGATTCGACTAGCTCCTGCCTTCAGGTCGTTTTTGAGGCGCCTCAAAAACGACCTCTGGTACAGCAGCACTTGCAGTCCATACGATTCGACTAACTAACTCCTGCCCTTTGCTCCCCATCCAATTGCCCCTGCGTCCCCACGCCAGCCTCGGAGCGACCGCCACGGGAGGCCTGTTCGGTCAGTCGCAGCAGCAGATGCATTCCGGACCCCCCTTTTAAGGCGACTCATTATTGTCCTCTGCTCCCCTTTCAACCACCCTTCCCGTCCCACGCCAGCCTTGGAGCGACCGCCACGGGAGGCCTGTTTGGTCAGTCGCAGCAGCAGCAACAGCAGCAACAAATGCAGCTTCAGCAGCAACAGCAGCAGCAGCTACTGCAGCAGCTGCAGCAGTCGGGGCTGCTCCAGTCGCCCTTCGGTGTGCTGCCTGCCATGCCCAACTTCGGCCTTGGTGGTTCTGCCGGGGGAGTCAGAGCCAGCACGGAGCTTGGCATTTCCAGCATGCCTGTGAGTATACCAACCCCACCCCTCATTGAAGCCTGTCAGTACACAGCACAAGCACTTGGAACACCTGCAGCAGTCGGGCTGCTCCAGTCGCCCTTTGGTGTGCTCCCTGCCATGCCCAACTTCGGCCTTGCTGCTGCAGGAGGGGTTAGAACCAGCACAGAGCTTGGCATTTCAAGCATGCCTGTGAGTATCAGAACTTTTGAGAAACACTTTGAGCATCCACGCCTTTGTGAGTTGAGACGATTTTTTAGTCGACTCAAAAATCGTCTCGACTTTGAGAAACACTTTGAGCATCCACGCCTTTGTGTGACAGTCACTACGTCGCATCGCAACGAGGTGACTTTTGAGTCGACTCAGAAGTCATTTCTGAGAAACAAGCATCCGCGCCTTTGTTCAAGTGTTGAAGCACTTGGGCCCTTGGACAGTCACTACGTTGCACGCCTGACTGCATGAAGTAGACTCCTGAATCAACTTCTTCTGACTCATAAAAGAACTCCCCTTTTATTCCCTCTCCTTTCCCCCTTCTCCCTTTCTCCCCGAACAACAGGCCTCGGACCGCTATGCTTCAGGCACGCGCGTCTCCTCCATCCTCACGCCGCGCCGCATCACCCCGCGCACCCGTGCGCGCATGCACCACCCCGCCACGCGCCACTTCCACCCCGGCCGCGACACTGCCCGCGTGCCATTCTTCTTCTCCTCTCCCTCCGACCACGACGACATCTCCCCTGCAGTGCCGCGCGCCGACGCCCTCTTTGTCCCCCGTGACAACCCCCGCGCCCTCTTCATCCGCCACCCTGTCGCCCCTGCTGCTGACACCGCTGCTGCTGGTGCTGCTGGTGGCGCTGACGCGGGCCCGAATGGAAAGAGCCCTGCTGCTGCTGCTGGAGGGACGCCGGGCAAGTCAGGGTCTCCTCAGGGATCAGACTACCAGTCGCCTCCTTCAGGGGTCTCTCCCAGGGATGCCTTGTATGCTCCTTCCGCTCCTCCCTACGATTCCTCCGAGCTGAACGGCAATGGGGGCTCGCAGTCCCCCAGGAGCCCCTCTGCTGCCCGCGCTGGCGCCACAGGCGGAGGGTTTGGGTCCGCCATGCCGTCCCCCACTCTCTCCCCCGCCTGGAACGGCTCCTTCTCTCCGCCCTCCCCCTCTCGCCCCACCGGCACCGGTGCGAAAGGTCCCGGGATCGAATCCCAGCTGCCGCGATTAAAATCCGCGGATTATTTCACCGAGCCGTCGCTGTCTGCTCTAGCTGCCCTGGAGCGCTCGCTTCCAGGGTCGCTGGCGCGCGTGCGGGACTTCGTGGTGGGGCGGAAGGGGTTTGGGAGCGTGCGGTTTCTGGGGGAGACGGACGTGAGGGGGCTGGATGTGGAGGGGATAGTGCAGTTTCACAAGTGCGAGATTCTGGTGTATATGGATGAAGAGAGCAAGCCGCCGGTGGGGGAGGAGCTGAATAAGCCTGCGGAGGTGACGCTGCTGCAGGTGGTGTGCGTCGATAAGAAGACCGGCAAGGCGGTGCGTGCCCGTGTTTGATGCCCATTCCTTTCCCATTCTTTTTTTCTGTTCAATGTTTTCATTTTTTGAGTTAGCGATTTGAGTGCAAGCTGTGGCGGCGGGTTCTACGTTTCGAGTTTTGAGGCGCCTCAAATGCTTCTTGCTTTCTTAACTCTCATCTGATGCTAGCAGGTGACGGAGGGCCCGGAGGTGGAGCGGTTTGAGCGCAAGCTGAGGCGCAAGACAGCGGAGCAGGAGGCGGAGTTCCTCTCTTTCAACGCCGCCAAGGGCGAGTGGCGCTTCAAGGTGCAACACTTCAGCCGGTACGGCCTGGAGGACTCAGATGATGATGAGGAGGAGGAGGAAAGGGGAAGGGGGAGAGGAGAAGGCGAAGAGGATGGGAGAGAGGATGATGGGGAGTTGGGAGAGGAGGAGTATGAGACTGACGAGGGTCTGAGTGGCGATGGTGATGGTGATGGTGATGCTGCTGATGATGGTAATGGTGATGGTGGTGGTCGTGGGAGGGTGTCAGTGCCACCTGGCGGCGTGTCACTGGACCGGGCGCTGCCAGCTCAGCTGGGGATCGACCCAATCAGGCTGCAGCAGATGCGCCAGGTCATGTTCGGCCGCAGTGCCACTGAGGAAGATAATGATGGGGACGGCGAGGGGTACAATGGTGGGTTTGGGAGCGGGATGGGTTTTACCAGTGCCAAGAGAAAGCAAGGAGGGTTGGGGGCGGAAGCAATGGATTCCGACTGGCAGGGCTGGGGTCCAGGGAAGGCTCCTAGGTTCGGCATGCTAGGAGCGGCCGCTGCCGCTGCCACTGCCGCCAGTGCTGCTGCCGCAGCTGCCGCTGCTGCTACTGGTGGTGCTGCCAGTGGTGTTGGTATGGCTAGAAAGGCGGCTGATCCTTGGTCCAACCCATGGGCAGCTGGATTTAGGGGTAACAGGAGGGCAGGCGGGCGGGTAGCACAGAAGCCGGCCTCCTTCCTAGCAGGCAGCAGGAGAGGCGTCCGGGTTTTCCCAGAGTTCGAGGCAGGTGCACCAGGCGTTGGAGCAGCAGGAGCAGGAGGAGCAGGAGCAGTAGGGGCGAGTGCTGTGCTGGTCTCAGGGCTGCAAGGCCGAGTGCATGCACATGTGCACCCAGGTGCTGTTGCGGCGTCAGGATTCGAATGGACCATCCCAAACGCGTTGCCTGGAAAAGGAACAGGAACCACAGCAGGGGGAGCAGCAGGGGCAGCGGCGGGAGCAGTAGCGGTGGCGCAGGCAGTGGCGGCGGTGGCGGTGGTGGCGACGGTGGCAGGGGAGGGGAGCAGCGGCGTGGCAGTGGATGCAGGGCTGTTCCTCGGCCGCTCCTTTCGCGTCGGCTGGGGGCCGGGCGGAGTGCTGGTGACTCCAGGCAGGGTGCTGCCTGCTGGGAGCTTCGCCGGTGGTAACTGCGCTGCAGCAGATGTGACAGATGTGACTCCCATCTCGTCCAAGATCACTGTCACTCAGGTGGCTTTCTCCCCCTGGTCGTCCCTTCCCCCTCCTCCTGCTTCTTTTGCCTCTCCTCTACTTTCCAGTCCCCTTCAGTCCCTCAGTCCAGGGGGGGCAGGGAGGGACGCCGAGCTGTCAGAAGCAGAAGCAGAGAGGGGTGCAGCGGAATGGGAGCGGCTGCAGCAGTTGCTGCTGATTGAGCCGCTGCTGCTGCACTTCCAGTCGAGTAGGGTGGTGGGGGGGCGTGGGAGAGGGGGAGAGGGAGTATGGGGCGCAGGTGGGGAGGAGGGTGATGGAGAGGTGTTGCAGAGTGAGGAGGAAGAAGAAGAGGATGTGGTGAAGAGCGGTGAAGATGAGGAAATGGAGGAGGGGGAGAAGAATGGGAGAGAGGGGAGGAGAGAGGAGGGGAGGGAGTGGGTAGGGCGACGGCTGGTGTGCAGTCGGCAGGGTGGCAGTCTGGCCTCTCTGTGCCGCTGCTACAGCTCCCTGGCTGTAGCGGCTGCTGACGCCCTTGCTGCTGCCCGGGGGAAGACTGGGCAGGGGCGGGTTGTATCTGGGGTGGGCGTATCTGAGCGGCAGCTGCAGCACGAGCAGGCGGTTTGGCAGCTTGTGGACGTTCTGTTCTCTGATTGGCAGGGCAGGAGGCGCAGTGACGTCATGCAGGGGTCTGGAGGGGTGGAGATGGGTGGAGGGGTTGAGGGAGATGCTGGTGAAAAGGCAGGTGATGGTTCAGGTGGGAAGTCAGGTGATGGGTCGATGGAGGAGGAGGAGAGGGATGGGGAGGTGGAGGATGGGTATGGGGAGATGGAGGGGATGAGTGGGGGTGGGCAGAAGGGTGGGATGGAGCAAGGGGAGGGGTTGAAAGGGGCGGGAGGGGAAGCAGCACTGAACAGGCGTCTGTTTGCAGATGATGACGTGGAAGAGGAGGAGGAGGAGGAGGAGGAGACTCAAGGAGGTGCCGCTGCTGATGCAACTGGTACAAATAAACAGCCACAGTGGATTGGGGGACCAGAAACTGCGGAGGAGGAAGAAAAGGGGAGTGAGCAGGAGGAGGAGCAGGGAGGAGTGACCGAGGAGGAGGAGGAGGAGGAGGAGGTGGAGGAGGAGGAGAGGGGTGATGAGGATGAGGAGGAGGCAGGGGAGGAGGAGCAGGAGGAGTACGACGAGGAGACAATGGAATTGTTCCGCAGAGCGGAGTTCAGCGCGTGGCTGCAGGCCGTGGTGGCACCCGCAATCGTGCACGAACTCAACTCCCTCGCTGCCACCGCTGCAAACCCTAGCACCGCACCCAACCCTCTCACTTCCACCAGCACCTTCACGAGCATCACGGCCACCACCAGCACTGCTACTACTGCTGCTGCAGCTTCTGCAGATGCTGCAGCGCTGCCTCTGCGAGTGGCGTTTACAGCGCTCACAGGAATGCAGGTGGAGACGGCAGTGGGTGCAGCTGCTCTCACAGGGGACGTGCGTCTTGCCGCCCTTCTCTCCCTTGCCCACTCCGCCCCCGCTGCCACGCGCGCCGATGCCGCCCGCCAGCTGGCGCTCTGGGAGAGGCTGGCCGGCGGGAAGGGAGATAGGTATGGGGGTTCGGGGGAAGGGGCGATTTCGTTGCAGGAGTTGGCGGAAGGGGCGTTGGTGAGTGTGGAGAGGCTAAGGCTGCTGCGGCTAGTGGCTGGGGATGTGACTGGGGCGCTGGAGGGTCGGCCTCTGGACTGGAAGAGGCACCTCGGGCTGCTCATGTGGTTCGGCATGACCCCGGCCGAACCTCTAGGCTCGGTGATTGGGGAGTTTAGGAAGAGAGTGAGGGTTGGGAGGGTGCCGAGGGCGATTCCGTGGTATGAGCAGACGATTGGGGTGGAGGGGGGGGAGAGGGCGGAGTGGGAGCGGATTAGGGGAGGGATGGGGGGAGGCAAGGGGAAAGGGAAGGTGAAGGGGAAGGGAGAGGGAGAGGAAGAGGTGGAGAAGGGAGGAGTGGAAGATGTGCTGTATGGGTTGTTGGCTCTGCACTTGAAAGAGGAGATGGGGAAAGGGAAGGTGGAGAGTGGTGATGCTGGTGATGGTGATGACGTGGCGGTTGATGTGGCAGCGATGCTGAGGTGGCGGTCGTGGACCCGTGATGCGCTGGACTGCCATCTGACGTGGCATCTTCAGAGCGTGCTGCAGGTAACGACTAATGCGCCCAGTCTGGTTCACTGCCCCACATCACAGGTTCACTTTTGAGTCGACTCAAACGTCTCATGCGCCCAGTCTGGTTCACTGTGCCTCACAACACATCACAGGTTTTGAGGCGCCCTGGTTCACTGCGCCTCACAACACATCACAGGTTCACCGAGTGCTGACTTCCCTCCTCTACCCACCTGCCACTCATTACCCTTAACATTGAATACACCTTGAATACAAAACCTTCAACCCTTGCGTCCGAACCACTTCTCCTCCTCCAACCACAATAGGCCATAGGAGTGCTGAGGGCCAATGAGGTGCTGCCAGCTGTGCACATGGACTACGTGGCGCAGCTGCTAGCAGCCAACCAGCCCCACTGGGCGCTCTACTGCCTGCAGCACGTCCCGCCTTCCCGGAAGCTTCCGCGGTGGGCCCTGGAGCGTGCGTTCAGGGAGGTGCTGGCGGTGTCGTGCCCGGTGTGGGCGGCCAGTGAGGAGCAGCGCAGCTTCATTGAAGGCCAGCTGCTCGTGCCTCGCTCGTGGATGTGTGCCGCTCAGGTGGGTTTGTCCAGTCGACAGTCAAGAGCACGTTGTGCGAGTGCAGCAGGGAGGTGCTGGCGGTGTCGTGCCCTGTGTGGGCAGCCAGTGAGGAGCAGCGCAGCTTTATCGAGGGGCAACTGCTCGTGCCTCGCTCGTGGATGTGTGCTGCTCAGGTGGGTGTTCGATTAGCCCAGAAGGTAAAGGAAGGAGGGAGGCAGGGAGGTGCTGGTGGTGTCGTGCCCGATGTGGGCGGCGAGTGAGGAGCAGCGCAGCTTCATTTAAGGAGAGCTCCCAGTGCCACGTTTTTTTAATGCGTGCTGCTCAGGTGGGTGGGTGGGAGAGAGAGAGGCAGTGAGTTTGTGAGTGGGTGAGTGAGTTTGTGAGTGGGTGAGTGAGTTTGTGAGAGAGAGAGTGAGTGAGGCACCATCACTACAGAGTCCGCAAGCAGCAACCTCCTCACCTCCCCTGTCCTGCCTCTGCTCTGCCCTCCCCCTTCTCCCCACACCAGGCGGTGCACCACCGCTACGAGGGCCAGTGCAGTGACGAGCTGCAGTGCCTGCTGAGTCAGCAATGCAAGCAGCAACCCCCTCACCTCCCTCTCCCACCTCTTCCACCTCCCCCCCTGCTTCCCTCTCCTCTGCACCCACCAGGCGGTGCACCACCGCTACGAGGGGCGGCGCAACGACGAGCTGCAGTGCCTGCTGGGTTGTCAAGTCGCACTCCCCTCACCTTTTGTCTCCCCCCTCCCCCATTTCCCCCTTTCTTGCCCCCCGCCCCACCACCCCACCAGGCGGTGCACCACCGCTACGAGGGGCGGCGCAACGACGAGCTGCAGTGCCTGCTGGGTTGTCAAGTCGCACTCCCCTCACCTTTTGTCTCCCCCCTCCCCCATTTCCCCCTTTCTTGCCCCCCGCCCCACCACCCCACCAGGCGGTGCACCACCGCTACGAGGGGCGGCGCAGCGACGAGCTGCAGTGCCTGCTGGGGAGCTTCCAGTGGGACCGTGCCCACCGCCTCTTCATGTCCCACCTCGCTGCTGCATGGATTCTCTCAGGTGCGTCTTGGTGATTCATGGGCTGTTGCATGCTGATTGGGGCTTTTGAGGCGCCTCAGAATCACCCTCACCAGTGGGACTGCGCCCGCCGACGTCACCAGAATCGCCTCTTCACGAACCTCCTCGCTGCCGCCTCATCACGAACCTCCTCGCTGCCGCCTCTTTACGAACCTCCTCGCTGCCGCACACGCGCGTGGATTCTCTCAGGTGCGTTCTTGGTTCTCACGGGCTGTCAGGGGCATTATCAGGATAGGATTCTTGGGCTAATGAGTCGGAGGGGAAGACCTCTTGAGTCTGCGCATTCTCCCCAGTCTCCCTGCAGTGGAAAGCGACAAATTAAGTATGTCCGTGACTGCTAGTTGCTGCTGTAGTGATTTTTTTTCATGGCAGCATTAGCAACCACTCTCCTTATGGTCATAACTCCCTGTACCTCGCAGAGCGGTGGGCGGAGGTGCAGCAGCTGATGGAGGGGCTGGAGACGCATGGGGAGGCCATTTACGGGTGGAAAGAGGGCGGGCGGCTGCTTTTGGACTACATGCACCTGTCTGCCGCCCTGGAAGGCCAGGCGCTTGTGCCGACCGAAGAGCTGACGGTGAGTGGATGGAGGAAAAGGGAACAGGGTTTCAGGGAGAGAGGGGTCGTGACTGTACAGCTTGTGTTTGCCTCCCTGTTTGCTGTATCGTGTTACAGACATTGAAAGAAACTTGCATCGTGTGCGATTGGGAAGCACACTAGCCACCCTGTTTCTTGTGTGACTTCCCAACTAACCACCGTCCGCCAGGTGTCAGTGGCTGATGGGTCAGAGGCACTGTCGGAGTTTTCCCAGCGCACGGCTCAGTCTGTGCGCACGTTCCCGCACGATGCTGCTCGCCTGCGGTGAGTGTGTGTGTGACCCTGCATCTACATGTGCACCTTTGAGTTGACTCAAAGTTCCAGGTTTCGTATGAGTCGACTCATGAGTTTTCCCCCAGCGCACGGCTCAGTCTGTTGTGCGCACATTCCCCCAAGACGCTGCCCGCCTGCGGTGAGTGCTTCACTTCACCCTGATGTGCATGTGCGTGTGCATGTGCGTGGATCTGCATTTTCCAAGCAGGCATGCTCTGTAAAACGGCTGCGCTTCTCTTCATGAGGCGTGCACAAAGCTCTGCACCCCAGTGCTAAGGGGTCGACTGGAACTTGGCAGGGGGTGGGAGTGTTTCTCAAACACAGGTACCACTTGAAATTCAGGAGTGTTTCTCCTGTTTCTAGTTTCTCCCAACCCGTTCTCCCCCCTTTCTCCTTCCACCCCCCCTTCCTCTCCCCTTCCCCCGTCCTTCACACCCCCCCCCCCTCTCTCCGCTCTCCCCCTGTTCCCCTCCTTCTCATGGCAGCATGATGTATGCGCGCATGCTCGATTCGCTCTCTCGCTCCTTCCTCACCCACACAGCAGCAGCCACAGCTGCTGCTGCCGATGAAGCAGCAGCAGCAGCAGCAGTCACTCCAGCAGCCGCCTCCTCTGCTCCCCTGGATGCAGCTCTAGCTACCTCTTCCCTCCCTGCCCTCCCTCGGGATTCCTGCCTCGCTTTCACGCGAGAGGCCGCGTCGGAGCTCGCCAGCTGGCTTGCTGAGGTGGCACCGGTGCAATAGAAAGTGCTGAGTCACTGGGAGTGCTCGTAGGGACATTGCCATAGCTTTGCACATCCAACCTTCGTTCTTGCGTTTGTTCTGTTTTTGCCATTGTGTAGCACGTTGCTTACCATTGTAATGCACTGATGGATGGCTGCATGTAACTGCATCATCCACGTTCAATGAACGTTACCCGTATGGCATTCTACCATCATATTCACCACCAACCAACCCGCAGTAGAGAGGCGGCTAGTCGAGACCATAATCTGCATGTAGTAACGCACTACGGTACGGTAGTTGGAACGATTCAAGACTGCTCCCTTCCCAGTTGCCACAAGAAGCCCTTGATTGAAACCTACGGTAGGTTTCTAGTGGCAGGCTTTGATGAGCTCTCTGGTGAGGCGCAGATGGCTCTGCGAGGGGAAGCTTTTGAAGATGTCCCAAAACAAGAGCGTGGGCATGTTTCAAAGCCCGCTTTCTAGTGGCAGGCTTTGATGAGCTCTCTGGTGAGGCGCAGGTGGCTCTGCGAGGTGGGGAAGGTAGTTGATGTGGTGCTCCTGCTGATAGCATCCCCTCCCACCACATCATCCTGCCACCCATCCAACATCTCCAACGCCATTGCCTCTAATGCCTCCCTCTCCTCCTCCAAAGCATCCCTCTCCTCCTCCACCTCCATTTCTTCATAATAATTCTGATCCACTCCCTCCTCTCTCCTCTCCCACACATGCTCCTCTCTCGCTCCTTCCCTCTCCTCCTCGCCCACTCCATCCCTCTTTGATGCCCCTGCTGCGTCATCTGTGCCTGCCACACTATCCTGCTTCCCCTTGTTCCATTGTTTAAACAACCCCATCCACCGCCCTCGTTTCCGCTCCTCCCCATTCAAACCTGCCTTCCCACCATCCCCCCCAACTGATCTACCCCCCTGTGACCGACCCACACTACCCACTCTCCCCCCGTGCAAGCTCTCACTCAGATAAGCCTTCACCAGTCCACCCAGCACCGTCCCCTCCTGCTCCTCCTCCACAAACCTTTCCCGAGCCTCAGCCTCGGCCTTCCTCCCTCCCTGCCGGCACTTCCAAGCCTCAGGTCCGGGGTCAGCTCCGGGCCGAACGACCTTCAAAATACCCGAGCCTGCCGGGACCCCCTGAATGTTGACCTCCTCTGATTGGTCCACGTGGAGCCTTGAGAGCAGCGCCAGCTCGTCTCTGTCCAGCTGGCGTGCTGTGCTGGCAGCGGCGGCCACTGCTTTGGCGTGTGCCGCTGCTGCTGCTGCTTCGGCTGCTTCTGAATCGCGCTGCTCCTGCTGTCGCTCCAGCTGCATGCGGGTGCGGAAAGAAAGCGCTGCCTTTCGCTCCAAACGTGGCCGTGGCCGTTCCTCTTGCTGCTGCTGCTGCTGCTGCTGCTGCTGCTGCTGCTGCTGCTGCTGCTGCTGCTGCCTCTGCCCCTGTCGCTCCAAAGACTCCTCTTCCCCTTGTCTCTTGCCCGCCGTCTCCCACCACTCCCCATCCTCGTCACCCCACCACCCGAACGCCTGTCCTGACGCCATCCCACGCAGCACAGACAGCGACGGTTCTGACAAACACGGGCTGGGAGGCTCCTCCCCCTCCCCGCCCTCCTCGCTCCCCTCCCACAAGTCCCCTGCTGTGGCGAACCCTTCATAAGAATCCACTGTGCCATCCACTATGCCATTTTCAGTCACGAAGTAAATGCCAGAGTTGGGAGTGTGGCCGGTGTGGTTAGATGACGAGGAGGAGGTGGTGGAGGCTTGCTTGCCTGCTGAGCTTGCTGCGTGGATGCTTTTGATGCGACTCACAGGGTTGCCTTGGTGTGTGCCGGACACTCTGCCGGCACTACCAGCAGCAGCAGCATTACCACCACCACCAGACAAGCCTTCGAGAGGAGAGTACGGCCCTCCTCCTCCTCCTTTCCCCTCCACCACATCCTCTCCCATGTCCCCTCGGCCTCTGCCTCTGCCCCTGCCAGTGGGAGTGGTAGGAGCGCTGAAGGAGGCAGCAGCAGTGAGAGAACCCCCATGTGGGCCACTGTCAGGAGACATCATAGCGAAGCCCCCATGCTCATGCGCCCCACTGAAGGGGGACAGCAGAGAGCGTCGATGCTGCCCTTCGGACAACCCAGGGGCAGTCAGGAATGAGCTACATGGGTGGAAACGCCGCAAAGAATCATATCTCATCTCGGTGACCGGCGGCCTGTCATGTTCTGCCACGTGGCTGACGCGTATTGGCGGAAGCAGGTTGGGGCGATTGAGAGGAAAGCCACGGTCCAGCCTTGGCCGTCCCTCTCCGCTGTCCCTCCCCTCTCTCTCACCGCCAGTCGCAGCACCACCACCATTCCCACATCCACCATCACCAACGCCACCACCGTTCACTACCTCGTCAGCCCTCCCACCCTCCCCTCTCTCGACCACCTCTCTCTCCCTCTCCCCCACCTCCCCCTCCACTCTCTTCTCCTCCCCTCTCTCCTCCACCCTCTCCTGCTTCTTCCGACTCTCCTGTTCCCAGTCCAGAGACTCCCCTCCCGTTCTCCTCCTCCCCCTCATCCTCCTTCGCAGTCCCATGTGCTCCCCATTGCCCGCCTTCCTCGACCTATCATCTCCCTCTCCCTTCGGACCTCCTTCTTCCTTCGCTTCACTCCCCCCTCCTGCCTTCCCACCACCAGCATTGGGCTCTCTTCCTGACCCAACCTCCCCACCCACTTGCCTCTCCTTCCCCTCCCGCCCCTCACCCCCATCCGCTTCTCTATCCTTCCTCTCCCTCCCCTCACTCTCCTTGCTTCTCACCCCCCTCACCTCCTCCTCCTCCCTCCTCTCTGCTTCCTCTGTACTGATCACAGTCACCGCCAACCGCACTCGACCGCGCCCCACCCCTCTCAACGTCTCCCACATCTCCCGCCTGCCGCCCTGCCGATACCTCCCCACGTCCACCACACAATAGCTGGTGGGAGGGAAGGGGGGCGAGGTTGTGAAAGGGGGAGGAGGGGTGGGATGAGTTAACTTTGACCTTTGAGTCGACCATAAAAATCAGCACCGCCGGTACCTCCCTACGCCATAGCTGGTGCGGTGGAAGGAAGGGGAAAGAGAGTGACAGAGGGAGGGACGGAAGGAACGAAGAGCCAGGAGCAATCAAAACCAAGCAAGCACCCCAGGCAGCTGCTCCCCAGCACTCACTCACCCGAGGTCTTTGGAGCAGAGAAAAGACTTGTTCAGCACTCTCAGCACGAGAAGATGGCTGAGATGCCACGAGAACACTGACGCCGTGAACCCCACACGATGCGCGTGGTAAAGCCAAGCCAAGCCAAGCCAAGCCAAGCCAAGCCAACTGCCCCCAGCACTCACCCGAGGTCCTTGGAGCAGAGGAAGGATTTGTCGAGCACTCTCAGCACGAGCAGGTTGCTGAGGCGCCAAGAAAAAACCGGCGCCATGAACTCGGCGAACCACTGCGGGTCCAGCGACCCCCACACGATGCGCGTGGTGAAGCGCGCCGCTCCCAGCGCGCACTTGACGTACGCGTCCGACGTGCCATCCAGGTTCGCGGGCTTTAAGTGCCGCGCCTCGATGATTTCGACGGCCACGAAGGCCACTGGGCGGGAGGAGTCGACGTGGAGAGCGGCGGTGAGTGGGGGGAGCGGATGGGGCTGGGACGGGGAGGTTGGGACTGCTGAGGGTGCTGAGGGGGTTGAGGGTGTTGGGGAAGTGCGTGTGGGTGTAGGTGTTGCTGCTGTGGGTTTGGTGGTTGCAGGGGAATGGGGAACGAACTGGGAGATGCCAGCTGCTCGGGCTGCGGCGAGCATGGCAGGCGGGAAGGGAGGCACGGAGGAAGCGATGGGAGAGATGCTGGCAGCACTGGGGACAGAAGAAGCGACAGTTGAAGTGGCAGTGGCAGCGCTGGGGACAGAAGAAGTGACAGTTGAAGTGGCAGTGGCAGCGCTGGGGACGGAAGAAGCAACAGTTGAAGTGGCAGGAGCAGGTGAGACAGCAGCGAATGCTGCCTGGCTCGCTTGCTCGGAGCAGTGAGTGCAGTGAGGGCAGTGAGTGTGGTGCGAAAAGTGATGTGAAGGGTGAGGAGGGTGAGAGGCAGTGGGAGCGGCAGGAGGAAGGGAGGGGGGCGAGAGGAAGAGGTGGGCGAGGCGGGCGACGTCGAGCACGAGCATGTTGGGGGCCACCATTGACGACTCCAGTGCTGTTGCTAGCATCTCGTCCTGTTGCACATGTGCATGCAGGGGATGGGGGAGGGGAGGAGAAGAGAGGAAGACAAAAGTTTTGCTTCTGTAGCGTGAGACGGGCGACGTCAGGTCAGGTCGGAGGATCATGCGTAGATAAGTTTATCCTGCTCTTAATCAATGCTGCCTCCATTTGCTGAAGATCATGCGTAGAAAAGTTCTCCAACTTGGTCATCAAGGTTGTCCCCAAGTACTTCTTGTACATGGCCTCCTGCTGATCCTGCCTTCGGAACACAAAGAACGCAAACAAAGCACACTGTCTGACGCCCCTGTAGCTGCATCTGCTGTTGTTGACGCCCCCGCAGCTGCATCTTCTGCTGCTGACGCCCCTGCAGCTGCATCTGCTGTTGCTGACGCCCCTGCAGCTTCATTTGATGCAGGCGACATTGTTTAAGAGCAGGAGCAAACTTATCTACGCATGATCTTCAGCAAATACAGGCGGCATTGTTTAAGAGCAGGAGCAAACTTATCTACGCATGATCTTCAGCAAATGGAGGCGACATTGATTAAGAGCAGGAGCTGAAGAAGGGCAGGTCAGCGAGGTTAAAGCCAAGGTGGGCCGCAGGCTTGACGGTGAGACCTATGAACGGCGCCCCCACGAAGCTCACCCGCACGCGACTAAACCACTCTCGGATGGAAAGGCCCCCACAGTGCACGCACCAGCCAGGAGCTGAAGAAGGGCAGGTCGGCGAGGTTAAAGCCAAAGTGGGCCGCAGGCTTCACAGTGAGTCCGATGAATGGCGCCCCCACGAAGCTCACGCGCACGCGGCTCACGTACGGGAACTCCGAGGTGAACCGCATCCCAATCCTAGTCTGCAGGCTCGAGGGATTTTTTTGGTTTCAATGTGTGGAGGCGAGCGGGGGGGGTTGGGGAGATTAGGAAAGGGAGAAGGGGTTGGGATTGTGGGTATGATGAGGAGAGACGGCAATGTTGGAGTCACATTTGGAAAAAGCTTAAGAGAGACAGCAATGATATGCTGCCTATCCTCTGTTGCACCACACACTTGGCCTCCTCCACCACATCCCACCTCCCCCAGGCACCTGGCCTCCCCCACATCCTTTCGCCTTTCCCATGTCTCCCTTCCGCTCCAGGTGCACCCCAGATATGTGCCCCTGGGCCACCATGCCCAAAGCCAAGAAGCACCTTTTATCCCACATCCCACCTCCCCCATGTACCACCTCCCCCCACGTACCACCTCCCTCGCGACCCACCTCCCTCGCGACCCACCTCCCCTGCGACTCACCTTCCCCTCTATGTGCACGTTGGACACGTGCCCCTGCGCCACCATGCCCAGCGCCACGCAGCACCACTCATCCCACCTCCCACCTCCCACCTCCCACCTCCCCCACAGATCTCACAACCCCCCGCCCCCATACCCCACCCACCTTCCCTTCTATGTGCACGCCCGACACGTGACCTTGAGCCACCATGCCCAGCGCCACACGCCGCCGCATCTTCACCCCCACCAGCGCGTACATGTCACTGCACGCTGCGAACTCGGTGTCTGCTTCTATGACCTGCAGAGGAGAGTAGAACGGGGAGGAAGAAGGGAGGAGACGGGGGGGAGGAATCTAGACAGCCGCATCTTGACCCCCACCAGCGCATACATGTCACTGCATGCTGCGAACTCGGTGGCTGCCTCTCTATCACCTACAGAGGAGAGGAGGGACGTGAAAAAAGAGGAGAGGAAGAAGAGAATTCTAAAGGACGAAGGAAGAAGGGAAAAGAGAGGAGGGGAAAGGAAGAAGGAAGGAGGAATCTAAACAGCAGGTTCGTGATTTCCTACCATACCATACCATACCATACCATGCCATGCCATGCCATACAATACCACAAGCACACCCCACTGCGCCGTACCCCACCGCACCACACCGCTCCGCACCACGTGGTCGTCGAGAGTGTTGGTGTGCACGACCCTGACAGCAGCAACGATGGGCGGCGACGTGCCCAGATACACCCGCTCCAGCCACGCCTTGCGCTGCACGTGAGGGGGGGAGAGAGAGGGGAGGAGCGGGATAAAAAAGGGCGGGTCTGAGTTGAATTGCCCGGATACAGCAGCAATGATGGGCAGCGAGTCGGCGACGTGCCCAGATACACCCGCTCCAGCCACGCCTTGCGCTGCACGTGGGAGAGAAAGGGGGAGAGAGGGGGAAGAGCGGGGGAGAAAGGGGGTTGGGGGGTTTGCCTGAGTCGAGGCAAGAGTCACCTCAGATACACCTGCTCCAGCCACGCCTTGCGCTGCACATATTGGGGTAAGGGGGAGGGTTGAAGGGAGGGTGGGGTTTGAGTGTTGGCAAAAGAGTAGCCTCAGAATCACCCCAGTGAACCCATTCCCACCCGCTATGCCCCAGCTCACGGCCTGCCAGGGGCGGTATTTTCCAAAGACCCAGGGGGCTTTTAAGTCGACTCAAAAGTCACCTCAGGCGCGGTATTTCACAAACAACCATGGCGCACGGGCATACCGTTGACGCATCTTGCGCACGGGCAGGAGCAAGATGCATGTGGACAGCAGGCGCTTGAGAAACACAGGCCACACCAGTGCTTTCAGCCAGCGCGCCCACCCCGACCCCTCCACACCACACCCCAATGCGCCCGTTCTCTTCCCACCCCAGTGAACCCATTCCCACCCCCGATGCCCCAACTCACCGCCTGCCAGGGGCGATATTTCTCAAAGAACCAGGGCGCGAGGGCGGGGGCGAGCTGGGTGGACAGCAGGCGCTCGAGAAAGACGGGCCAGGCGTGCTGCACGAGCGCGTTCAACCAGTGCGCCGTCTCTTGGTCGCCCATGGGGTGCCGCTGCAGCACCGCCTGTAGCGCCGCCACCCTCGCTGCTTTCACCTCGCGCACCCGCTGCCGCTTGGATACCTGAGGGGAGGAGTGGGAGGGAGGGAGGGGGGAGAGACATGGGCTGGTTATTGGACTCTCTGCTGCTAGGACACCTGCAAGGGGGTTGGCCGAACGGGGCTGTCATGCCGCCTCAAAACCAGATCACTAGCACGAAAAAACGGAGGAGAACAACTAAAAACAAAAAAAAAAACGACAGAAGCGACCACTTCCTTATACTATGGCTGCAATTGGCTTTGTTTTACCTCATGGTACACGAACAGGCACACTAACAGCACGGGCAGGATGCCGAACCGCACGCGGCCCGCCAACCAGGACAGTGAGAGTAGCAATCCGATTAGGAACAGCCCCGACCACTGCGGCGGGAAATGCGGGATGTCGCCCAGGAGGCGGCTCGTGAGCGCCAAGATCCCAAGCCCGCCGTCCGAGCGAGCTCCGGAGCGCGCTGACGTGTTACTTCGAGAATACCGGGGCGAATCATTGCTTGGGGAGAGGATGGCTTCTGATTGATCGAAGGAAAGCGGGTGACTCATCAGCTGAAGCTGACGTCAGAAGAATTCGAGGCTGACCTCAGCCAGATAGAAGAGGCGTGGTGCGGAGAAGATAGGGAAGAGTAAGTGAGCGAGGGGTACGGTAGCAGGAGGATGAAGGACAGTATGGTAGCTAATGGAGCGCTGCGCGCGTGTAAGGCACATATGAGCAAGCAATTTACGTGTTGTGGTGGGCCAACAATTAAGGGACGAAAATAACTTCGCCATAAGGTGGCTCGAGAAGCCTGGAATGAGAACGCAACGTATTCTTGTATAAGAGTGGGAGGGTGTAGGTAATGCTACTTTTAAGCTTGTAAAGAGTGTATCATGGTTGTGAAGTCAAAACTCTTTCCATCTCCATCACTCATGGTTGTTAGAGTGAGGATCTTGGACAGGATAGGAAATGCTTTGGTACAGTTGGTAGCGGAAGTCTTCTAAGAACTCAGATCATAGTGAATGTAAATGACCAAGTTGATTAAAAGATAGAATACAAGGAATATAAATAGTCCTAGTCTAGCCATGTACTCTAAGGGGTACATTCCCTTATTATAACTGTTTTACATGCATTTCAACAGTGACTCTGACTGTTGTACTGCCTTTCTTGTTACCGAGTCGCTGCATATAACCTGTACGGTTACGACTGTTGCCATTCCTTGATGATAAGTAAAGCGTCGGTCCAGATGGTCAACAGTGGCGACAGTTGACTCTTGCGACTGTTGACCTTCCTGCCCTTGTTACGGGCTGATCCGATACTGCGGTAGTTACTGCTTCGACAGAGTCAGGTGCGATACTACTGCACCTACTGGAATGCCAAGTACAATTTCCTTCACGCTCCAACACTCCCCTTAATTCCTGGAGGTGCGCCACGTGGCTTTTGCGAGTGACTCCGCACAGGTCCGAGCAGTACTGGAACTTCTGACGTGGCAGTTTCTTCGTGAGGAAATCGGCCGCCATTTCGCCTGTTGGACAGTAGGTGAGTTGGACCTTCCCTTTGTCGATTTCGTCCTTCACGAAGAAGTAACGCAGGGCGATGTGTTTCGTGCGGTTGACGAAGCCTGGCTTGTTGGCGATTTTGATCGCGCTCTGGTTGTCGCAGAGTAACTTAAAGGGCCCGTTTATCGCCGTCTTCGTTTCCTGTAGGAGTTCCGTGAGATAGAGTCCTTCGCGAACTGCGCGAACTGCTGCGCTTGTTGCGATGAATTCTGCTTCTGCTGACGAGAGGGCGATGAGTTCTTGTTTGTTGGAGTTCCAGGAGATGGTTCCTGCGGGCTCGAGTTTGAAAATGAAGCATGTGCGGGACCTCCTGTTGTCTACGTCCCCTGCGTGGTCAACATCCACGTAGCCGGTGAATTGTAGTGGCGCTGTTAAGTTGGTCTTGTAGGTAAGGCCAACATCAGGCGTAGAGATGAAGTACTGTAAGGCGCGGCGCAGGTCTGCTAGGTTCTCCCCTTCAGGTCGGCGCAGGTACTGGGCGAGCTGGCTAGCGATGTAGGATAAATCCGGGCGGCATGTCTCGGCGGCGAACAGTAGGCATCCGAGCTGCTGCTGATAGAGATGGTGATCAGCTGGTGAGAGCGGAGTAGTGTCGGGCTCGTGGTTAGGCGGAGGAATGCGGAATGGGGTGGTGACGCCGACGGGAGCTATCCTGAATTTCTTAGCAAGGGTCTCGGCGTACTTTGCGGCGAAGAGATGAATGGTGTCCGCGGTCTGAGTGATGTTGAGGCCGAGGAATTGAGTGACCTCGTGGTCGATCGTGACCTCCAGTTTCTCCTGAATTTCGCGTTTGAAGCGGTTGAGCAGGTCCTTGTCATCGCCGATGTAGAGAAGATCGCCGACATAGGCGACGAGCAGGATGAAGTGGCCGCGGGATTCGAGGCGGTACATCCCCTGATCGTGGGGAAGCTGCTGGAAACCGAGCTCGATGAAGACGCCGTGAAGATGTTGCTGCCACAGGCGAGGTGCCTGCTTGATGCCGTACAGGGACTTTTGCAGGAGACAAACTGCGTCGCCGTCTTCTTCGAACGCGTGTGGCTGCTCGACGTAGATGATAGCGTCGACGATCGCGTAGAGGAACGCATTGGAGACGTCGATCTTGCGAAGCGGGCGCTGTTTCACGGCGGCGATGGAGAGAAGAATGCGTACTGAGGTATGACGATCGACAGGTGCAAAGGTCTGGTTGTAGTCCACGAATTGTGTATGCTCGAATCCGCGAACCACCCAGCGCGCTTTAATTTTTTCGACTGTTCCGTCCGCGAGGGTCTTGATGCGGAAGACCCACTTCCCTGTAAGGATCTTCCTCCCCTTTGCGTGGCGCCGTGGTATTAGCTTCCAGGTTCCGCGACGTTGCAGTGCAGCGACTTCTGCGGCCATGGCGGCTCTCCACTTCTCGGCATCGGGCCCGTTGAGAGCCTGGCGAACGGTGGTGGGCTCGACCAGCTGCTAGTTACCCCGCACGGCGACAGAGAGGCCGAGGATGCGAAGGCCCGTGAGGTTGGATTCGGCTGTGGTGGTAACTTCGACCACGTCGTCCTCGTTACCAGGGATGTCGCGAAGGGTGTCCCGAGACGAGTCACGAGCTGGGTCTTCGTTCACGGGTGAGTGCATTTCTACACTTGCGTAATCGTGCTGTGCCTGTACTGCTTCGTGGGGATTGGTGTCTGTTGGGAAGAATGTGGGAGTGCCGAACTGCTCCGTAATGGGGATGAAGCGTGCATCGTCTGCTGCTGCCTCGTCTGGCTGTTCTCCTGCCACGTCAACGTCGTCCTCGTCATTGGCGTAGCTGTGCTGTCCCAGGAAAATGTTGTCCGGTGCGTTCTGTGCAGTGTGGTGCTGGCGGTACAGTGGTAGGGTCAGTCTTTCGTAGAAGATGCAGTCACGTGAACGCGTGAGCTGGTGGGTGGCGAAGTCCAGAATTGTCCAGGCGTGGTATTCAGATTCGATTTCGAGGTGAATGCCCCAGCGAGCGGGATCCTCAAATTTTCCGGTTCGGGCAGTGAGAGGGCGGTACTGTACCATACACCCGAAGACTCGCAGCATGCGTGTATCGGGGTGTTTTCCGGTCCACTCCTTAAAAGGTGAGCTGTTGTTGGGCAGTGCTTTCGAGGAGAGCATGTTGTGCAGCCAAACTGCATGCGCCATGGCGAAGATACCAGCTGAACTGCATGCGCCACAGCATTCACGGTATTGTCCATGCGTCAATACTTGGTTGGCACAGCCGACTGCTTCATGAGGGCTCGCATTTTTGTCGCAAGGCTCCTGTTGGTTCTTTCCGCCAATCCCTGCTGCTCGTGGGCGTAGGGCAAGGAGACCATCCTCTTAATCCCTCTCTGCTTGCATAGGGTTTTGAAGTCGTCCGACATGTACTCCAGAGCTCCGTCTGTCTGGAACGCTTTCAATTTGTGGCCGTCACTTTGGTTTTCCGCGATGGCGAGCCAAACTTCGAAGCAGTAGTAGGTGAGGTAGCGGTCCTTGACGTTCACGGCCCAGACGAAGCGTGTGCCGGCGTCAATGAAGGTGAGGGTGTACTGCTCCCCTCCAACTCCTTTCGCCGTGAGAACCAGGAAATCGGTGTAGACTTTCTCCAGGGGTTTGTATCCTTCGGCTCCGGGAATCTTTTCGGCAAAGGGCGTGTGGCGGAGTGCGGCTGCCGGACAGACGGTGCAATTAGGTGGATCGGTTCGTGGTTTCAGCAGCTTTCCATCGGGCAGCAATAGTGCGTCTGCCGCAAAAACATTTGCGTTGATGCAGTTGTTGAGCACTTCGATTGATGGGTGTCCCATGCGTTGATGCCAGATGTCTCCGTCAGCCCGATATCCCTTTTCTCTTGTCTCCGCTGTTTCTTGCCTTGTTGCGTCCGCAGGTTCATCGGGCACGGTGATTTGAACTGCCGCTGCTTGAATCGTCACGCCATGATACGTCCCGCTGGTGTCGCTGACAGTAACAGTGTCCATTGTTACCGGCAGCTCCGGTGGTTCCTCTGAACGCGCAGGCGAGGTTCGTGCGCAACGATCTTCGAGCTGCGTGATTTCTTCTCCCTCGAAGTTGGTATCGCCGATCGCCACTCCCCTTGTCTTGAGGCGAAGGTAGTCCTTGCCGTCTGTCGTGATGGGAAGTAGATGAGGTCTGTACTCCGTTAGTAATTCTTCCTCCTCTGCTTCTGGTGCCTCTTCAGTAATTTCAGGTTCTTCTGCTGCTTTTTCTGCAGGTGCGTCGGCGATGCTTCCCCATCCGGTTTCAGTTGCGACGGCTTCCCCTAGTGCGGTGTTCTCCATGACCCAGTGCACATTGGCTGCGTCCCATCCTTCAGTTGTGTTCCAGCTGGTGGGGCGCTAGACAGGTGGCCAGAATGTTTGCGTGCTTGTCGGCTCGGTTGTTTCGATTGCCGTTCCTGACATGATCTCCTCTCCTTCTTCCACTGCTTGTGGTCATCAGGTACATGAGGCAGCCAACAAGCTCTGCAAACGGGCCACTCGACTCTACGGACTCATCCGAAGGCAGAGCTGAGAGCGAGTGGTGAGTAGGCAGAGGAGTGGCCTGAGGTGAGGAGTACGTGAAGCCGAAGTGCTGAAGGACCTGCTGCACCATGTGTGACTGAGTCAGTGTGATGGAGCGGCGTGCTCTGTCCCGGGTGATCTGCAAGCCAAGGTAGCTGCGCAGTTCACCCAAGTCTGTGCACGTGTGTCTCTTCTGCAGCTCCAACTTTACGTGGGCGAGAGCCTCAGTGTCAGCAGTGGCAAAGACCAAGTCGTCGATGTACACGAGGATGTAGAATGGCGGCAGCGAAGTGTCAGTGCGCAGAAACAGCGACAGGTCAGCAGTAGAGGGCGCGAACCCAAGTGCCGCAAGAGTAGTCCTCAGTGTGTCGTGCCACTCACGTGGCGCCTGGCGGAGACCGTAGACTGGTCGGCGGAGGCTCCACTGGGTACTAGGAGGAAACGACCCAGTGAAGCCAGGAGGGCGGCGCAACCAGATCTCCTCGTGCAGGCTGCCCTTTAAGAAAGTTG